AGTGGTTTAACAATCCTCCCAGGAAATTCAGGCAATTGTAACTCTTCTAACAACTCTCCAGAGCACCTTTAATAAATCACCATTCCTAGGATTCTTTGGGGGAAGCCATTACTATTAAAGTGGTATAAGGGTGCTTTAAATGTATAGGGCAGTTGGGGGCCACAGTTAGTTGCACTCCCTTTTACAAACCAGATACCATACCAAAGTTAAGTCAGTTTTGACAATCACAGGCTAATCTAAAATGGAGTTTCTCTAATATCCAGTCTACTGATAGCTGTCAAGTTCCCATCTTAAAAAGCCCCTTCATTTAATATCAGAATATAGAAAGAGCCACTCAGTTTTGGCGTTCCCACAATGACATGCAACATAAATGGCGTTGATCTGTTCCCCCTTTGTAATGCGCCCAGTTTTCCAACTATAACTGTCTGTTCCTCATCCACTCTTAAGTGCCCTAAATTACAGACACACAGAGAAAGGATTCAAAAATAAGATGTGCTTAGAGGATGTTCAATCCACTTCACAATGAAATCCCTGTGATTCTCAAAGATGTAAATTATATCTTCACTGAACATCCTATAATTTATGTAATACATACAGCTATTTCAAAATGTGGTGCCAAAGACATTTTGATGAATACAATTTTTAATCCTGCTAGAAATGTGACATCTACTTCTATTACACACACACACACAAACGCACAAACACAGCCTCCTTATTCTGCCAAGTGTCATCCAATAGCAAATGGTACCTGAGCACTTCTATATCTATTTTGAAAGTCAAAACCATCTTTGGATAATTAGTGAGGGCACAAGCATGGTCACAGAGACATAAATGAAGTATCAAATTCAGGTATAGACCACATAGATTTAAAGGAAAATAGTACCAGCTTCCTCTCCCCATAAAAAAGGAGACAAAATTGGCTGCAGAGTTTACAATGCATGAAAATTGCAATCCTATCGTATCCTATCCATGGTTACTCAGGAAAAAAAATCCCCAAAGAATTCAATGGAACTTACACTCAGATAGGTATGGAGGAGACTTTTGATTCTGTTTACATTGATAGGTAAATCTATCTAATTTGCACATTCTGAAACAATATGCAAACTTGTATAGCCGCCCTTCAAAAGCTGCACGTCTCTGAATTTTGCAATGTAGTTCTCCAGCCATGTAACATGTCCTAAAAATAATATTCTAGAGTAAACTGGACATAGTACTAAAAATGCATGAACATTTCGGTTCTTAAACGCCATAAACCCAGAAGTAAATGCTTCAGTTTTCGAACACGTCCCGGAAGTCGAACATGCCACGCAGCTTCCATTTTGAGTTTCCCGCACAGTGGTACAGTGGTGCCCCGCAAGACGAATGCCTCGCAAGACGAAAAACTCGCTAGACGAAAGGGTTTTGCGTTTTTTGAGTCGTTCGGCAAGACGAATTTCCCTATGGGCTTGCTTCGCAAGACGTTTCGTCTTGCGAGTTCTTGCGAGTTTGTTTCCTTTTTCTTAAAGCCGCTAAGCCGTTAATAGCCGCTAAGCCGCTAATAGCCGTGCTTCGCAAGACGAAAAAACCGCAAGACGAAGAGACTCGCGGAACGGATTAATTTCGTCTTGCGAGGCACCACTGTACCTCGGGATGCAAACGGGATCCGTTCCGGAGCCCCGTTCGCATCCTGAAGCGAATGCAACCCGCTTCTGCGCGTGCGCGGGTCGCATTTCGCCACTTCAGCACATGCACATGATGTCATTTTGACTGTCTGCGCATGCACGCACAGCGAAACCCGGAAGTAATGCGCTCTGTTACTTCTGGGTCACCACAGAGTGCAGCCCAAAAATACTTAACTTGAAGCACATTTATCCCGAGGTATGATTCTATTGAGTTTTCTGTATTGAGTTTTCAGTTTTCGAATTCTTCGGAACTCAAACGGTCTTCCAGAATGGATTACATCTGAAAACCAAGGTACCACTGTATTAGTGAAAATAGCATACAAAAATGAATTTGATAAGGGGATTTTGCTTTGCAAAAATGTGCAAATTAGGCCAAACAGTGACAGGTAGGGGAATTCCCACTACCTGAAATAATAAGCAAATTCTAAAGCAGTCATCCTTCAAAATTTGCTGAATTTTGCAATGCAGTTCTCCAGCCAAATTGTTGGCATCCATCTGTCTCACAAGGGAGTGTGCCACCATGGGTGAAATCAAACCGCTGGGGAATAACAGCGCCTGCTATGGCTGCAGAGACCGATTACTCATAACTGCTGCCTCTAAAGTTAGCAACACCAGAGTGACCTCTCTGGGGTGCAAGCCTGGGCAGTGAGTATGGAGGTCATGGGCTGCACAACAAAACCCACTGATGTGCTCGAAAGGAAAGCAGAGCAATATGTTTGGCACCAGCTTGGCTGCAGGAGTTGCCAGAAGGAGATGTACAAGATGCCATCCAACTGTCTTAGGGACTCAAAATTGTGCATGTTCAGGTAAAGTGCGCAAATAAATTAATGTATTACTGAAGGCAACAAACAAAAATGCTGATGAGGACTTTTTTTTTTAAAGAACTGAACTCAAGACCAGGAAAAATGAGAAGCAGATAGAACCCAAAACTGACACCCCTCTAATGACAGATTGAGATAGCACTAGCTGTCCCCCTCATACATTTATTTTCCATAATATTCCATAATTCCAAGCACCTTAAGAGGTGATCCTGTGGTCCTTGGATGAAGGGCGGTATAGAAATTTCTTAAATAAAAGAAACAATAAATAATAGTTCCCAAAATTATTTTCTCTGCCCAAAATTCCTACACTACATTTCTTAAGTACATACATGCTCAATATTGTGTGGAGATCATGCCATGAGACCACAACTCCCCAATCCACAGCTCCTTGCCCACAGCTGGGAAGGAAAATCCCAGCCATCTCATGCTCAAGTTTGACCTTTAGGATCACCACCTCTTTTCTTGACAGAGACTTTGTATGGCAGCCAGAAATTCAACAGGTGTTGCTTTCCCTTTCATTGCATCTCCTTGCTGCACTTTAATCTTTGCCCTGCAATTGTTTGAAAGGCACAAAGCTTCTATCAGAAGAAAAGTGGGAGCGTTCAGTCTCAGGGACAGTCCTATGGAGGAATAATATGTGCAATTGTTTAAAAGTGCTTCAGCAAGAAACATTCATACTGAAAGATAAAAACCTAGAAGTAAGTCTGCGTTGAACAGAAAATTGTTTAGGTTGTCAGCACCAGAGAACATTGGGGTGATAAAGTCTGAACTGCTTCAAAAAGCCATCACAATAAATATTGTATTTCAACACTGGCTTTTGTTTCCATGTAGTAAGCAGACTTCTGTTAGTTTAAAACCACAGCACTAGTAGACTGGGGGCAAACAGGCACACATTTGACAGCAGAGTCAATCCAAAAGTCTTCGCTTGGGTCAGTTTAGTCATGACAGCTGACATGTAAATGCAACAGAAAACCAGAAGGATGAACCAAATAACTTTCACTGCCAGGTTCAATTCTCTGAAAACTGGAGTGTTTTTTTTTAAAAAAAATGTGCTTTTGAACATGCACAGAGTGCTTTGCCCACACCCCTCGCTAAGTAAACACATCCCGCTGATCTAGAATCAGCACAGAGAGCTTCCAGGTCAGCACATGTTGAGTGCCAAGTAAATTTGAGCTTGTGTGTGTATGGGGGGTGGAGGTGAGAGTGAGCAATAGGAAAACTTCATCTTTGGCTTCCCCTCAGCCCACTGACCAAAAGGCACCAAACAGCCAAATGTCACGGCTCGCTCTCATTGGCCCTCCTACCTCGCGCTGCTCAGAGGGTCATGTTGCAGATCTGGGAATATTGAGAACAACAGGTGTAGGGGCCGTGCTCTGAATTAAATCAAGTTAACACTTTGCACTACCTCCTGCTTTTCATGTTTCTTAACTCAGCTGAACTATGCAATTAAGTATTTTTCCCTCCCCCTCTCCAATCCTATTAAGAGCTGGTCCCTTCCGTTCAGTTGAGGGTTGCGTATTGTTTTTTACTTTATGAAATTGAGATTAATTAAATTAGTTAGTCGGAGCGCCTTTTTAAAAGAAAGCCCAGGGGGGCTGAGCTTTTTTTATTTTATGCAGGCAGTATTCTTCTTATTATTAATTTGTTGTGATCAATTGTTACTGTTATTGTTATGACAACTATTATGGTTTTATTCAAATCCTTACAGCAATATAAAAATCTTAAAATCAATTGTATTGCAATCAGAAGAAAAGGGCAGGTCCTAAAACAGATATATTTGTATATTTTCACTAGGGACTGAGCAGATCTCTTGAAAACTACGTTTTTGACAGGCATTCACAATATGAACTTCTCTTTTTAACTGTCCACTATCTACTAGTGCTTTATTGACGTTTTTAATTATATTAATTATGCTGTCTATAGATTGCTTTTATTAGATTCCATGTTGTAAGCTGCCTAGACATATTTTATTAAAGTGTGGTCATAAATATTCAAGGAAATATAAATCACTGGTGTCAAAGGTTAGTCTTTAGCGTACTGCAGAAGTGATGCAATAATGGTGCTAGATGCACCCCTGGGGGAGGGAATTCCACAATTTAGGGGCTGCCACAGTGACAGACCCTCTCCTGGAAATATATACAGTAGGGTTCAACCTAACAATAGTGCATGATATTAGGGGAATCGCTTGCAAACAAGTATCTGTGGCACAAAACTGCATGCAGAAATATTTGCATTAGGAAAAACGTGAATTTTCTGATGGTTCTTTTTTTATAAAAAAAAAATCAAACTGATGTAGGATGCGACAAACCGAATTTAAGATTGGAAGAATGAGGAAATGAACTGTTCCAATTTGCTCGTTTCTAGCTATGATAGAAGCGCAAGGAAACATTTCAAAAGGTATTGAAGTTCTTTGTTATACCTGAAAGCCGGTTTGTTGTACAGCTTAAGCCCTAGTCAATCATTATCCATGTATGCAAGATAAGGGAGAGCACAGCTGTACCGGTGGCCCTCGCCCACACTGCATCTGTACAGACTTCTGCAAAGGGGAGCTTATGCGTTAGTGGTTCAGCTCAGGAGCAGCTGGAGGGGCTGAGCAGAGCTGCAGAGCTGGCCTCCCAGCCATGGCATTGCTGTCTCATGGCAGGAGAGCCATTAGGAAATGATCCAGTGGTCCCACTGACGTGCCCCTGCCCCCCTGCCCTGCTCCTGCTCCATTCTGGTAAGTGGCAGTTCTGCAGCGGCACCCTACTCTTGGCTCTTGCCTAAACATACAGAAGCATGGTTACATGAACTGAGTTAACTCACCCCATCAGTGGTATTTTGCAGACGTCCAGATGCAGGGTGGCAGATCTAAGTGGTATGAACAACTCCCCTTTACCAGTGCATGCATTGTATCCATAGATAATGACTGCATAATGTTCTAATGAAAGCATTCATAACTGTATCATGTGGCTGGCGTATTTTAAAGGACACTCCTGTTCATCACCATTGGTTCTTTTCCAGACCCTGTTCAAGGTGCTCACATTAGTGTTTAAAGCCCTAAATGCTGGCTCTCTCCCCTCCAGATCCTCCTGGGTGTTAAGATTGGTTCCACCTCCTTAGAGGGGGGCGGGGGGCCCAAGAGAGGCATTCTCTGTGGCACCCCAGTAGTGTCCAAACTTTTTTCAAAGAGGGCTGATGAAGTGAAGGGCCGTGAGGGCTGACCAAATGGCCAACCAAAGTTGTTGACCTTTCTTTAGAATTGAAGTTGAGCTTTTTTTAGGATTTTACCCCAAAGTTGTTGAGCTTTTAGGGTTGAAGTTGTTGAGGTTTTTTAGGATTTTTACCCCAGGAAATAACCTGGCAAGGTCCAGATTAAACCAACCGGATTAGGCCCCCAAAATGGACTTTGGACATGCCTGCTAAGTTGTGGAATTCCTTGTTAAGTATAATTCTTTTAATTGACATTGAAATGGGAATGTCTGTGTAGTGAAAAGCTTTAACATGGGGAGATTCCATTGAAGCTTTAGAACAGCAAGAAGAGCACTTTGAGCTCTTGATGAGTTGATAATTAACTAATTGTTGTTTTTTGCTAGCTGACACGTGAGTGAGTAACCTTAGATCATGTGACAAAGGTTGTTGTTGTTGTTTAGTCGTTTAGTCGTGTCCGACTCTTCGTGACCCCATGGACCAGAGCACGCCAGGCACTTCTGTCTTCCACTGCCTCCCGCAGTTTGGTCAAACTCATGCTGGTAGCTTCGAGAACACTGTCCAACCATCTCGTCCTCTGTCGTCCCCTTCTCCTTGTGCCCTTCATCTTTCCCAACATCAGGGTCTTTTCCAGGGAGTCTTCTCTTCTCATGAGGTGGCCAAAGTATTGGAGCCTCAGCTTCAGGATCTGTCCTTCCAGTGAGCACTCAGGGCTGATTTCCTTCAGAATGGATACGTTTGATCTTCTTGCAGTCCATGGGACTCTCAAGAGTCTCCTCCAGCACCATAATTCAAAAGCATCAATTCTTAGGCGATCAGCCTTCTTTATGGTCCAGCTCTCACTTCCATACATCACTACTGGGAAAACCATAGCTTTCACTATACGGACCTTTGTTGGCAAGGTGATGTCTCTACTTTTTAAGATGCTGTCTAGGTTTGTCATTGCTTTCCTCCCAAGAAGCAGGTGTCTCTTAATTTCATGGCTGCTGTCACCATCTGCAGTGATCATGGAGCCCAAGAAAGTAAAATCTCTCACTGCCTCCATTTCTTCCCCTTCTATTTGCCAGGAGGTGATGGGACCAGTGGCCATGATCTTCATTTTTTTGATGTTGAGCTTCAGACCATATTTTGCGCTCTCCTCTTTCACCCTCAATAAAAGGTTCTTTAATTCCTCCTCAATTTCTGCCATCAAGGTTGTGTCATCTGCATATCTGAGGTTGTTGATATTTCTTCCAGCAATCTTAATTCCGCCTAGGGATTCATTCAGCCCAGCCTTTCGCATGATGAATTCTGCATATAAGTTAAATAAACAGGGAGACAAAATACAGCCTTGTCGTACTCCTTTCCCAATTTTGAACCAATCAGTTGTTCCATATCCAGTTCTAACTGTAGCTTCTTGTCCCACATAGAGATTTCTCGGGAGACAGATGAGGTGATCAGGCACTCCCATTTCTTTAAGAACTTGCCATAGTTTGCTGTGGTCGACACAGTCAAAGGCTTTTGCATAGTCAATGAAGCAGAAGTAGATGTCTTTCTGGAACTCTCTAGCTTTCTCCATAATCCAGCGCATGTTTGCAATTTGGTCTCTGGTTCCTCTGCCTCTTCTAAATCTAGCTTGCACTTCTGGGAGTTCTCGGTCCACATACTGCTTGAGCCCTCCTTGTAGAATTTTAAGCATAACCTTGCTAGCGTGTGAAATGAGTGCAATTGTGCGGTAGTTGGAGCATTCTTTAGCACTGCCCTTCTTTGGGATTGGGATGTAGACTGATCTTCTCCAGTCCTCTGGCCACTGCTGAGTTTTCCAAACCTGATGGCATATTGAGTGTAGCACCTTAACAGCATCATCTTTTAAAATTTTAAATAGTTCAGCTGGAATACCATCACTTCCACTGGCCTTGTTATTTGCAGTGCTTTCTAAGGCCCATTTGACTTCACTCTCCAGGATGTCTGGCTCAAGGTCAGCAACCACACTACTTGGGGTGTACGAGACATCCATATCTTTCTGGTATAATTCCTCTGTGTATTCTTGCCACCTCTTCTTGATGTCTTCTGCTTCTGTTAGGTCCTTACCACTTTTGTCCTTTATTATGGTAATCTTTGAACGAAATGTTCCTTTCATATCTCCAATTTTCTTGAACAGATCTCTGGTTCTTCCCATTCTGTTGTTTTCCTCTATTTCTTTGCATTGCTCGTTTAAGAAGGCCTTCTTGTCTCTCCTTGCTATTTTTGGAAATCTGCATTCAATTTCCTGTATCTTTCACTATCTCCCTCGCATTTTGCTTGCCTTCTTTCCCCCGCTATTTGTAAGGCCTCATTGGACAGCCACTTCGCTTTCTTGCATTTCCTTTTCATTGGGATGGTTTTCGTTGCTGCCTCCTGTATAATGTTGCGAGCCTCCATCCACAGTTCTTCAGGCGCTCCGTCCAGCAAATCTAAATCCTTAAACCTGTTCCTCACTTCCACTGTGTATTCATAAGGGATTTGATTTAGATTGTATCTTACTGGCCCAGTGGCTTTTCCTACTTTCTTCAGTTTAAGCTTGAATTTTGCTATAAGAAGCTGATGATCTGAGCCACAGTCAGCTCCAGGTCTTGTTTTTGCTGACTGTATAGAGCTTCTCCATCTTTGGCTGCAGAGAATATAATCAATCTGATTTCAATGCTGCCCATCTGGTGATGTCCACGTGTAGAGTCGTCTCTTGTGTTGTTGGAAAAGCGTGTTTGTGATGACCAGCTCTTGACAGAACTCTATTAGCCTTTGCCCTGCTTCGTTTTGCTCTCCAAGGCCAAACTTGCCAGTTGTTCCTTTTATCTCTTGATTCCCTACTTTAGCATTCCAATCCCCTATAATGAGAAGAACATCCTTCTTTGGTGTCACTTCAATAAGGTGTTGTAAGTCTTCATAGAATTGGTCAATTTCAGTTTCTTCAGCACCAGTAGTTGGTGCATAAACTTGGATTACTGTTATGTTAAAAGGTCTGCCTTGGATTCGTATCGAGATCATTCTATCATTTTTGAGATTGCATCCCAGTACAGCTTTTGCCACTCTTTTGTTGACTATGAGGGCCACTCCATTTCTTTTGCGGGTTTCTTGCCCACAGTAGTAGATACAATGGTCATCTGAACTGAATTCGCCCATTCCTGTCCATTTTAGTTCACTGATGCTCAGGATGTCAATATTTATTCTTGCCATCTCATTTTTGACCACATCCAACTTACCCAGGTTCATGGTTCTTACATTCCAGGTTCCTATGCAATATTTTTCTTTACAGCATTGGACTTTCCTTTCGCTTCCAGGCATATCCGCAACTGAGTGTCCTTTCGGCTTTAGCCCAGCCGCTTCATCAGCTCTGGATCTACTTGTACTTGTCCTCCACTCTTCCCCAGTAGCATGTTGGACGCCTTCTGACCTGAGGGGCTCATCTTCCAGCGTCATAACTTTTATATGCCTGTTGTCTTTGTCCATGGAGTTTTCTTGGCAGGGATACTGGAGTGGCTTGCCAGTTCCTCCTCCAGGTGGATCACGTTTGGTCAAAACTCTCCACTATGACCTGTTCATCTTGGGTGCCCTGCTCGGCATAGTTCATAGCTTCTCTGAGTTCTTCAAGCCCCTTCGCCATGGCAAGGCAGTGATCCATGAAGGGCGTGACAAAGGTATTTGATTGCAAATCTCCATTCTGAAGGGAGTTGCCTTTGAGTCTCTTATCTCAAAACTCCATGGAAGGAAGATGTAGATGAAGCTCTCCAAGAAAACAGCTCCAGGCAAAATGGATGCCTAAAGCTCTGTCTGAATTATTTCATATTTTCTAAGATGCTGAGCCTGTGATGGATAGCACAAGATATTGTACAGGTATTTTTTTATGTACCTTTGATGTTTTAATTCTGTTGTGAAGAAGGTTCCATAAGTAAAACTGTGAATAAAATTTTTATGGGTCTGGACAAAGCTTTGTTTCCAAAAGGAGGCAGTGCTTATGCTTCCAGTCACTTCAAACTATACAGATTTCAGATTCAGGTAGGTAGCCTTGTTGGTCTGACGCAGTCGAAATATATAAAAAATAAAATAAAATAAAATAATTGTCCAGTAGCACCTTAGAAACCAACTAAGTTTGTTCTTGGTATAAGCTTTCGTGAGAAGAAGTGTGCATGCACACGAAAGCTTATACCAAGAACAAACTTAGTTGGTCTCTAAGCTGCTACTGGACAATTTTTTTATTTTTTTATTTATATTTATAAAAATATTTATACAGATTTCATTGAATGCTGACACCTGAAGTGTTTTTTTTCAAGTCGCACCCTAAACCCGTGACTGCAATCTGCCTTCACTTTTTAAAATAATAGTAAGAGGGCTACCTGGGGACCTTTTGTGGGCCATAAAACAACAACCGAATGGTAGGTTGATGCAATACTTGTTGCAATCTTACAGCTGCCACGTGAAGCTGCACAACAGTGTTGGTGTGGGGTCCCTCCTATATCATACCCTTCCTTTTTTGAAGGTTTAGCATGCCTCAGGGCCTCATTTCCCACTTCCTGCCATGTCAAAGCACGACAAGTTGCTGCAGATATGCCCTTACTAAGGCAGGCAGGCAGCCCTGGTTTGCCCTGCCTTCTTTGCTACAGAAGCCTGATCAAGCAGCCCAAGTTACAAGCAGGGTTAAATGTCAGCAGTGCAAAAGATAATTAATCTTATCTGTCACTGCAGCTGTTTCACATAATTTTCACTTAATAGTAGCAAATATCATATATCATGCTAGCGTAAAAGAACAGCAAAGCAGAGCAGGATTACACACACACACACACACACACCAAACTTTTAATATGCATGATAGGAACTGATGCATCCTTACTTCAAAGTTAGGGCATTTAATCCCATGTTTCCTCCAATGAAGGTTTAATGTCATTCATTGAATTTCCCTGCAGGGGCACAGATAGAATTGCAAGGGCTACAAACTCTTGTTATAAGTGAAGACTACAGCGCAGAAGCCTGTGGAATATAGAGTAAGGGCCCCAAACAGGATGGGGTTGCTTGAGCAAACCTACATTCTCCAGCATGTGTTTATTGTCAAATAGACTTCCTTTTTATTTCATAAAATTTATAGACCACTTCATTGGTGTGCCCCCTGCCCCAGGGGGGGCAGGGAACACACCTCAAAGCAGTCTACAAAAAAAGAATCAAATAATGAAATTATCAGTTTAAAAAACGTTAAAACGGCTATTTTAAGTGATCAAAACATTGAAATCAACAGTAGACTAAAAACCAGATCAAAGCACAGGTCAGGATTGTACATACCTTGAAAGGCTAGATTAAACAATACAGTGGTACCTCGGGTTAAGTACTTAATTCGTTCCGGAGGTCTGTTCTTAACCTGAAACTGTTCTTAACCTGAAGCACCACTTTAGCTAATGGGGCCTCCCGCTGCTGCTGCGCCGCCAGAGCAAGATTTCTGTTCTTATCCTGAAGCAAAGTTCTTAACCTGAAGCACTATTTCTGGGTTAGCGGAGTCTGTAACCTGAAGCATATGTAACCTGAAGCGTATGTAACCCGAGGTGCCATTGTAAATGTTTTTTTACAGGCAACTTTAAAAACCTAGCCCCATGTTGCAGGACACCGACTCAGTGCAGAAGGGTAAAAGATAATGCATAACACACTGACCTCAGGGAGAATCCTCCTTCTTCCATTCCATCATGGCAAATGTCAATTTAAAAAGAAAAAGATGTATGCCTCATTCTAAAAGGCCATTTCTTTACATCAGCTTAATTTACGCCGGCATGCTTTATGCAAGCTTCTTGCGCATGGAACTGCTCCTCCCTAAGAGTGGCAGATGGAGGAGAGATCGTATAATCCCCCCCTTCAAATTGCAAATGAATATTAGTTGCACTCTGTAACTAAACATTCCAAACTCTGTACCTGAATTATTGGCATATTTCTTCAAGGCTGCATATTTATAGTCTGAAGCAACTTTCAGAGTCTCAGGGTCTCATTTTAATGAACACGCTTTCTCCAGCAACAACAACATCCAAGGTACAGATCTATTCAAAATCCATAATTTTAAATTAGCAGGAACAGTTTGATAGGGTTCCATTGATATTTTCCGTTAGTTATTACCAAGAATAATACACAAATTAAACCACGTCCAGCAACATACTAAACTGCACAATTTAGATCTAAACAGACATGCTTCGAAGCACTTACAGTTTTAGTAATCCAAAGCAACTGAACATTATATTCCAAAACCAGATTCTACAAAATCAAATTACTTTCTGCTCTCAGACAATTAATAAAACTGTTCAGGGGGCTCGGAAATCTATTAATCTCTTTTTCCTTCCACAACCTAGAATGGATCTAAAATATAAGAAACATTAAATGGAAGTTACAGAGTCATACACTGCTTTCTCCTGCTCTCCTGTGTGGGGATTGCATTAGAATTCAGACTTTGAATGGAAAACTGTGCTATACGAGTATTTATGAAGTTTTATAATCAAATAATTATTTATTAGACTTTTTAATCCACCCTTCACCATGCAGTCCGAAGGTGGATTACACTGTATTAACACACAAGGGAGGAAATTGTTTCCAGGCTACTTGAACACTGAAGCTGGGTTTGAGCTTCAGATCAAAACACTAAATGTAAAATTGCACACGAAAATAAATTCTAATATTTCAGTATCAAAGAAAGATATTGCATTGAAATATATTTTAAAATTTTGCATGCCCCTCTAAATATGATTTGGTGGTTAAGCAGGTGCTCAAACTTTTGGCATATTCTGATTTGGTATTGTGAAATCTCAATAAACTGCTAAATTTTAACACTGAAAATAAATTTTGATAAAGGCTACTTTTTGTAACATTTTCCTGCAAATTCAACTCTTGAAATTGGCTTCTTTTTGTGGAATACTGTTGTTTTCATTTGCAATCAATTTGGGGGGCTGTCAAAAATGCAGCCCTAAAAACAAAGTATTAAGTGTTTTTTTAAAAAAAGAAAAAAAATGTGCATGGCTTCTTTCAATTTGTCATGGGCCATTTGTTGGATAGAAAGCAATACATATAATGTGAATGGACGATATCACATCTCTACTACAAAAGCACACAATCACTCAGGTCTAACCTCAGACATTCTCTCAACTGCAGGATATCTTAGAAGTGTGTTTGTTTTGAGAACTACTATGAGGTATTCTCCAGGCCATCAGAAGCAAGAATTATGTTGCACAGATATTCTTTTGCAAGCATGATATTGTACTTCAGAATGGTACAAAGGTAATACAATAGCACTGACCAGCTCACTTGCTTCCAGTGTTAATATCTTCAGCAGATGTTTCGAGGCCTTTTCTACTTCGTTTGTTTTGAAAGTGTGACATTAATTAATGTTAACGTTATTACTGTGTGGGAGTGATGGTCATTTTTGCTTTGAAACAGATATAGAATGCATGAAAAGTTTGCATGAAAACAACACCTCATGCTAATATTCAGCAACAGACCCATTAGTAGCTTGTCTTTGAAATGCAGTTGTGCAAAGGGTTTCTATCAGTATGTATTAAGAGGTTTTGCATTTTTCTGTCACTTCTTTTGGTGGAGTGCTAGCTTTAATTGTGCAACCTGAATTTGTCAGTATGTGATTCAATCCCACCCCTAAACAATGACAATCAAAGTGCCCAAAGTCATGATATGAGGGCCACACTGATGATGTTCTTAGACTAGCTTTCAATATTAAGGCAAAGCGTGTTCTCCTTGAAATGAGAGCATGTGTTGCGGTGGGGTCCGCTGAGTCACCCCTCTGTTGCCAGGCAAGGTGACCAAGCTGACTGATTGGTTGGCTGGGTTGCCGGGGAAATTTACTTGTTGCGATTTTGGTGGGAGGGATCGAACCTTTTAAATTCCGGGCACGCAGCTTGGTGCTTTCTCTTTCGCTGCGTGAAGCGGATCACCCGCCCACCCACCCTGAGTTTCGAAGGTTTTGCTTTGACCTTGCTATGCCTGTCATGGGGTCGTCTGCTCTTGGGGCAGGGGCCTGGTAGGAATTTTGTCCATCTGGCCGATTGGCTGGGCTATTTGGTTTTTGCCTACTGCGTAGCAAATCGCCACAACTTGTAAGGTTGCGGTTAGGCATTGGTTATCAAATTGGTTGGAGGAGGGGTAAGGACTGGCTGGGCCTGCCCCTCCAATGCTGCTGCGGAAGGGAATTCCGTTAAAGGAATCCAGGGGCTTGCCACGATTTCGTCCGAATCCCTGGAATGGGGCTAGGGCCGGCAAGCCCCGGGAAGCATGCGGGTGAGTGCTGAGGGCCTGTGACTCCGCTCCATTGCTCCCCAATATTGTTTTCCCTTACTGGCTTCCGAGGGAGTTTGGAGCTCAGTTCTGTCCCTAGGCGGGGGGGGGGGGTCAGATAGTTTTAACCAATGCCTAAGCAACCACTCACAGATACGTATTTTAATAAAGTTGTGGCCAAAATTATGCCAAAAACCTTAAACAAAAATTATGTGTGAGTTGTGAGTTATTTGAGGGGTGGCTTGGGGACCTCAACACGCAAACATTATGTACTTGAGTTCTTCTCTGGCTCAGATCTGAATCCAAGCCAGAAAAGAATGCCCACCTTCTCCAGTAGCAACAGCTCTCAGTTTCTCCTGTTTTTACCTCAATCTTTCTTCCTCATCCAATGTGTGGGAAAGTCAATTTCCCAAGGAGATCTAGAACACCTTGGGAAGATTGCAATTCTCAGAGGTCCCTTGGCACACTACTTTCAACTGTGTTTCATGTATCGGAGAAGAAGTGAGTAGGGAGAGAGACTGAGAGGGGCTCATTCCCCTACCACCTACTGCTCCATTGTAACTGCTGAAGCAGCCACCAGAGGGGGGCAAGCAGGGAGAGAAGGCAATGACAAATGGAGAAGAAGAGCAAGGGGAAGGTAGGGGGCATGCTGGCAGAACTGCCACTGCAGTTGCCAGCTAATAATAATAATACAAAGCAAACAGCTATTGAGCTCTACTCCATCAATGTACTAAAGGTCCAAACTAGCAAGTATCGTCTAAGTTGTTGCCTGAATAGTACCAACATGAACAGCTGGATTTCCACAGGGAAGGAATCCTACAACCTGGGTGCATTATATGGTGTACGTCTTTGAGGATCAACTTCTGTGGTACATGCAGTCTGGTCGCATTCACATGGACTCAGAAGCAAGTTGCACTGTGTTCAACAGGGCTTAAACCCCAATTCATGCACAGAGGGTTATGCCTTAGAAAGGCCTATGAATGTTGGCAAAGCACGAGGCAAACACAACCATTTTTGAGAAGTATAACAATAAAACCAGCAGACCCAGGTCTTTTGCAAAACTCCAGATTTGTATAAAACGTTGCGTATTTCGTTTGCAGGAGAGATGGCTTTTCATAGAAAGTGACCTGAGAAACGTTACCATACTAATATGTAGCAAATGAATTCTGAAGTCATTCTTCTCCCACATTTTCTTTCCCATCACTCACTTCCTCCAGGAGGGTATCTTCAGAACATGATATTTCTCAAGGGTTTTACTTTGTTTACTGATTTGTGATCTGAGGATTTTTACGCACATGCATGGGAAAGATAACACGCCCGGAATGTAAAGAGCATGATAACAGCATGTCAGATAAACAAGGAAACCAAACACCATCATTAAAAGGTCAAAAAGGCCAATGGAAAGCAAAGTAGTTTAATTAAAGGCTGCCTATGTTGTTAAAAAATGTCCTGACATATTGGTGAGCTATTGTAGGCATACATTCCAGAGCAAATGCAAAAGGAAGAGTTCTGTGGAATCTTACAACTGGTTGTGGCATGGACCTTAATGGCTTATAGTCTATTATGTCACATACAAAAAAAGAGTCTTATTTCTCATATGCGCGCACACACAAACAGGTGGATATAGCTAGCATATCCAAGAGCCCAAAACTGAAAGGGCTAGGAGTAGGCTTGTGACATTTCTACGCAGAATCCAGATCTATACATGTTGAGAACTGAGTGATGCATTCTCAACTGCAGTCATAGCTATGCCTATGCCATTGAACACACATAGTGTGCAAGAAACTCACAGTTCTGATTAAGTCCAAATTGAGGAGAATCAAATTTGCTGATACACTGTAGTTCAGCAATTTGGTGGTGAAGGCTCACTTTAAAGTAAAAAAGTAAAGCAAAGTAAGAAAATTGTAGTATGCTGATGTTGGGTGCCTCCAGGTGGTCATTATTTTTCAGGAGGAAGTCAAGTACATTGTGGAATTTTAGGTTTTCTGATTTAACATGGATTAAAGCAAGAAGATCAAACCTATCCATTTTTAAGGAAATCAGCCCTGAGTGCTCACTGGAAGGACAGATCCTGAAGCTGAGGCTCCAATACTTTGGCCACCTCATGAGACGACAAGACTCTCTGGAAAAGACCCTGATGTTGGGAAAGATGGAGGGCACAAGGAGAAGGGGATGACAGAGGATGAGATGGTTGGACAGTGTTCTCGAAGCTACAAACATGAGTTTGACCAAACTGCAGGAGGCAGTGGAAGACAGGAGTGCCTGGTGTGCTCTGGTCCATGGAGTCACGAAGAGTCGGACACAACTAAATAACTAAACAACAACAAAGCACTTGGCAAATCCACATTAAACAAACGCAAAAACCATGAACTTTTTGCGGTTTGGAAAGTGATGGGGAAATGCATTTAAAAGTGTTGAATGAACAATGGGAAAATGTTTAAATGCCCCGTTAGCAAATCAGGATGGATGCTGATTGCCATGCAACTGTCCTGTAAATGAATTCAAATGAATGTTCAGTAAAGACCAGACATAATCTAACAACCATGTTATGCTCAACAGATCATCTGAAGGAGCCCTTTGAGATCAGCATCAGTGCCCTGGGACACTGAAATGTTTACCATTGATTTCTGAATGAGGTTGCTTCTGATCTCAAATTTGTGTTCATTTATTGCTATGCATGGAGGCTGACTTAAATAAATACTGCTTCTTTCACTCAGAGTGTTTGAATAAAGTGGGATAAAGAAAACTGTGCTTTTTTAAAATAAAAAAGTGTGGTTATTTTCATTCTTGTTCTATCAAGTCATTTTTAATTCTGGGAATGACCTAGCCATGCTATACGGCGGAGAACAATATTTCAGTGCAGGGCACAGATTAAGTGTTAAGTGAGCAAATGCGTTTCAGAAAGTTACTCCTCTGAAGCCATCTCATTCATTTTTCTGCCCTGCTGTTGCTGCCTAGACGTTGACAGATGGAGTGGTGTGTTTTGGGTCAGAGGGTTTTCCACCAAGTAGAACAAGTCAATCTACATTCTCATCAAGGCCCTGCGGTTGTATTTTGAGTTTGCCTTATTGTATTAGTTAGTATAATCATTTTAAAACAATGCTAATGTGGCCCCACTGGAAGCAAACACTCTTGTTTTCTTATTGAAAGCAATGAGCCCCCAGCAGCTTTGTTTAATCAAATATAATGTTACCTCCAGCTGAATACATTACAGAGACCAGGTCAAATTCTGTGGTATATTGTGCCTTTTGATGTTATTAGTAATTATTGTTGTTAGTGAAGATTTCATCAACTTTTTCTCTCTTTTTTTGAAATCATTTTTATTTGATTTTACAAATATAAATTTATAACCATACCAAATACACATCCATTTAAAGACATTACTCTGAATCTCAAGACTTCCCCCATCCCCTCCATGGCTCCTATTGTCAACATTTTCAACTGCATTTTATTTAGTGATCTATATTTTGTATCTGTCCATGTTGTCCGTAAAGTGTGTTCTCCCTCATGGAGAGCACAGGTTGCGGGCAGGGCTGACAAGACACCTCACTGTTACTAGGCAAATGGTTTGGCCATCCTGTAAGCAGGGGCGGGCTGTTACTGGGGAAATTTAGATGTTGCCAATTAGTGATTGACAGCCCTATTTGTTAAATACAAGGCACGCAACAACGGACGTCCTCTTTCGCTGCATGCTTCGGATCACCCGCCCTCCCTTCCCTAATGTTAGGCTGTTTGCTTGACCTTGCTATTGCCTGTCATGGGGTCATCTGCCTTGGGGCAGGGGCCCGGTAGGAATTTTGCCATTTGGCTGATTAGTGTGTGCCACTTGGTTTTCGCCTACCGCGTAGCAAATCGTCACAACTTGTAAGGTTTGCGGTTAGGCATTGGTCTGGAATTGGTTGCTGGGGGGTATGGATTCGGCTGTGCCTGCCCCCCAAAATGCTGCTGCTGGTGGAGGGGTATGGATTCGGCTGTGCCCGCCCCTCCAAAATGCTGCTGCTGCTGCTGAAGGGTTTTACCATTAAAGGAACCCAGGGGCTCCCCCATGCTTTTGTCCGAAACCCCCTGGCAAGGGGCTAGGGCCACACAAGCCCCTGGGAGCATGCTGGGGAGAGGTGAGGCATGGTTCCCAGTCCCGTCTCTCTCCCCAGGTGACTTACCCTTCCTGACTTCGCGGGGGGTGCGAATGTCAGAGCTGTCCCCTTGCGGGGGCAGCTAGTGCTACCAATGCCTAAGCAACCACTCACATTGAATAAAGTTGTGGCCAAAATTATGCCAAAAACCTTAAACAAAAATTAAGTGTCAATTGTGTTTTTCTTGGGGGGGGGTGTCTTGGGGACCTCGACACGCAATATCTGTTACATTACAAGTGAGATTAAAATCCTGCTAATGTTTTCATCTGCTTACAGAGTTCTCCTAAATAAATTATAAACTTTTCCCATTCCTTCTTGAATTTCTTGTCTTCTTGGTCCTTGAGCTTTCCAGTCAGTTTTGGCATTTCAGCATAGTCCAGCAGCTTAGTTTGCCATTCCTCTCTGGTACGTACTATTTCTTCTTTCCATCTCTGAGTTAGCGGCATCCGAATTCATCAACCTTTTCAGACCCAGAACCCACTTTTGACCCAAACATGCATTTGGGGAACCATTTCTTAATCTTTAACTATCTTCCTGATGTGACTCACCTTGGATCATAGCTGTCAACTTTTCCCTTTTCTTACGAGGAATCCTATTCAGAATAAGGGAATTTCCCTTTAAAAAAGGGAAACGTTGACAGCTATGCCTTGGATCAGGCTGTGACAACCCACTGGTAATTCCCAACCCACCAACTGAAGACCAGTTAGAATACTAGTCGAAAGGAGAGACTTATTATTATTATTATTCTAAACTCATTGTACTGCAGATACTACCAGATAACAATACTGTTTAAACATAAGAAGAGAATCCTGACCATATAATTTAATCAGGAGAGAAATACTAAATGGATGCCCCTCCCATTTGGCTGGGTGGCTTACAGCATATCTAATCCAGTTCTATACCCCTCCAAACAACAAAAGCTACTATATTAAACACCCCCTTTCCCACTGACTGAGCCCCATTCTCTGCTGCTGGAGGCTCTAATTTTGCTGAATGCTATTTTCCGTTAATCTGCAATAGCATGCTGGACACTATAAAACGACATTTGTTCAACTCACAGGTATTTATTTTTTAAATGGCTTTTGTCCATTCTTCACGCTCTATGACCAGAATAATAATAAGAAGAAGAATTTATTATTTATACCCCGCACATCTGGCTGGGCTTCTCCAGCCACTCTGGGCGGCTTCCAACAAAATATTAAAATACCGTAATACAGAAGGTTTCTTTCCATCCACTGAAGGCTTTTGGTCTAGTGGAGGGATCCCACCAATCTGAAGGAGGCAACTTTGCCAACTTTCCTCTTCCTTCTACAACTGCCAGTGCCTCCTCCCACCCAACTGTTCCAGAGGGATGTCCCCTAAGCCTCAGGAGCAGATTTTAGAAGGGCACAACAGAGAATTGGCAAAAGTCTCCTCCCCTTCCACTTCTGGTGATGGAAGTGAAGTCTGAATCCAAGCCAGTATTCCTAGGTTTCACCACAACAAAGTTCTCAGAGCTCAAAAGAAGAAATAAAGCAATTTGAAATACAAATTTTTAAAATATCCCAATAAAACAATAAATGTAGCATAACTATTCAAGGCACAGAGTAAAAACAGCTTAAAGCTACGGCAGGTTTTAAAGGCCTAGGAAAATAAGATGTACGTTGGGTGCTGATTGACACCAAAGAAGATGCCATGTAAGCATATTTGGGGAGAATAACTTTACAGTTGGGTGGCCACAACTGAAAATGCCTTGTCTCTTGTATCCTCTCTACATGTTGTTTTTGTAAAGAAACCCAAAGTGTGTCTTCTTTCAATTAAAGAGATGCCCAAAGATCATAAACCACCGAGCTTTTCATGATGAGACTCAGCATCATGTGAAATGGCAGTCTTTGCCCTATGTTGCACCTTGAACATTCATGTGCCTGCATTTACATGTTTGTGCTAAAACCTTAACAAGGCAAAATAAATAAATAGGGGCAATGATTCAGGGAAGCGCACCATGCATGCAAAAAGTAGGGATGATCCAGCTGGCAAACAGGGGCAACTGGAGTTCATGCTGCAAGGGCCTGGGCAGGAGAGTGAGAGAACTTTGCTGTGACTGGAGATAAGGGTCTGCTGAAGCAGGAATGGCAGGCGGTGCTGCACAGGAGATGGGGACAGAAAGGCAAGTTCCAGAAAGGGCAGGAAGACCTGAGGCAAAATGAAATGCAGACACAGGCAAGCATTCGACAAAGAGCTCTGCAGCTCTACAGTTCTGTGGTTTTGTGTATACAAAGAGACTGTTGCTGATTTCGACAGCTGGAAACCCTGAAAGTGGAAGCCTAGAAGTAACTTGGCAAAAGCCCAAAATACCACTGTGGTGATGTCACCCCAGCTCAGAGATGCTGGGAGTGCTTTTTAAGCAAAACCTGATGATTGCAAGGACATGAAAGCCCTGAGTTGAGAGAGAAGGTGCTGCAGATTCTAGTTGCCACCTCTCTGTTGTCATAATCTACCGGCAATGTTCCTGCTAATGTATTTCTCAGCTGTGCGGAGGGGTGCTCTCTGTGAACCTGGCCCATTCGCATGGATGCTTTGATACAGTCTGGGTTGAAAGGAAAAGCATTCTGATAAAAGCAAGCAAGAACAAGGAACTCGCTTTTGGTATCACCCACCCACTACCACACTTCTCCACCCACACACATACTTGTTCTGCTCCCTCCACTGCTGTTCTTTTACATACGCAGCAGATCCCAGGACTGAATGTAGCCAACCACATTTTTATTTTTCAACCCAGACTGAATTTAAATTGTTGCACACTTTCTTTTGTGGATTGAATATCATTTGTTGTGAAATGGGCTGATTTTTTGTGTATTGATGCCTGACACATGGGGTGAAAGTGTTATCTATTGGATCTCCATCTCTGTTGAAATATTGCAAACCAGTATGGCAGTGATGGAGAACCTGTGACCCTCCAGATATTGCTGGACTTCAACACCCATCAGTCCCAGCCAGCCAGCAGAACCAGTAATCAGGGATGATGGGAATTGTAGTCCAGCAATATCTGGAGGGTCACAGGTACCCTACCCATGCCATATGGTACAGCACTGTGTTTGTCATAGATCAGGAAGTCCTGGATTTAAAATACCTATTCTACCATGAAGTGCACCATGTGCTGGTGGGTTACTATCACAACCTGAACATTATAGAAAGAGCAGAACACACATATAATGAATGACTGAATGCCAACTCAAAACATTCATCACCATTTCTATTCACACACATGTATATACACACTAAACCACGCAAAAACACATGCATGTTTGAGAACGGTGTAGAAAAAGGGGGCACTTTAATTTATTTATATATATGGAATGTCCTCCAGTAATGTTCATAATTGGCCACCGGGACCATATAACACCGGTCCTAAAGGATCTATACTGGCTCCCAGTACATTTCCGAGCACAATTCAAAGTTTCAGTGCTGACCTTTAAAGCCCTAAATGGCTTCAGCTCTGTATACCTGAAGGAGCATGTCCGCCCCTATCGTTCAGCCCAGACACTGAGATCCAGTTACAAGGGTCTTCTGGTGGTTCCCTCACTGCAAGAAGTGAAGTTACAGGGAACCAGGCAGAGGGCATTCTTAGTAGTGGCGCCCTCCCTGTGGAATGCCCTCCCATCAGATGTCAAAGAGAACAACAACTACCAGACTTTTAGAAGACATCTGAAGGCAGCCCTGTTTAAGGAAGCTTTTAATGTTTGATGTATCACAGTATTTTAATATTTTTTGGAAGCCTCCCAGAGTGGCTGGGGAAGCCCAGCCAGATGGGCGGGATATAAATAATAAATTATTATTATTATTATTATTACTATTATTATTATTATGTCACCCACCCTGTGGAATGCCCTCCCATCAGATGTCAGAGAGATAAAGAACTACACAACTTTTAGAAGACATCTGAAGGCAGACCTATTTAGGGAAGTTTATAATGTTCGACATTTTTTAATGTTTTAATATGAGCCAGGTGGTGCAGCGTATAAATAATAAACTATGACAATTGTTTATCCAATTATTTTTTTTAAAAATGAGATGAGGTTATGCATCAGTACAAAATATTGCTCACCCCGTAACAAGGGGTTAGGGGTGTCCAAGACAGGGGTAGGCAAGTTGCTCCATGCTGCATATTGTTTGCATAAATGCTACACGGCTGCTTTCTGTATACATCTTCGAGATATTGAGCAAAGCTGTTTTTAAAGTGAAGCTGTTTCTTTCTGGCAGAATTGGATTTGTCAGTGTGCTGCACCTATTCATCTCCCTGTATCCGCCAGCTACTGAGAAATTCAAATAGCCCCACTCTCAGCGCTCTGGTACTCATATTCTTCAGAAGCAGAAAGAATATTATTTGGGAATGTCTTCTTGGCAGAGTATCAAAACTGATCTGAGCTAGTATTTTTTAAAAGTATTACTTAAAAGTCCTGGTATAAGAATTCTCTCTCTGTAAGGTCTCCCACCCCTAATCTCTGCAGATGGCTGGGGTAGTGGCAGAGGCAGGGGGTTAGCTCATTTCCAGTTGAACCCAGTTCAAAGTGGGAGCTGAATGTAATGTCAAATGGGTCTACCATCATCAAGGAAGCCATTTCCTAATCCCCAGTTAGCATACAAGCAGAGTACCCTCCTCCCACCCCTGGGCAGAAGTGTACAAGTAAAAACTCGTGAGGAGGGAATTTGGTGAAAGAGCACTCAACAAAAAATGAAGCAGTTTGCAAAAGCAGCCAGGACAAACAACAAAGAAGGAAGGACAGATTGATAACACTTGTATCTAGGGATGGGAGACAAATCTGGTTTGGTTCAGATTTGAATACAAACCTACCTAATTCTCATTTTCTGAATTGGTATGTGAACCAAAACACAACTATTCTTTGAAATTTGCACTTCTCCAAATGTTGCGATGCAGTCCTCCAAACAAATACTGTGTACCAAGATGTGTGCATTATGGTAAAGTGTGCATAAAAATGCATATATTTGTGATAATAGCATATAAAATGCATTATTTTACAGGGAATCACTTGGAAAAAACGTGCTGATGAATGTTCACGAGGATTTTTCAATTTTAAAAATTTGCAGACTTATGCAGAAATTTGGCAGACTGAAGGCAGGGAAAAGGGGAAAGTAAGAAAAACCAAAATTGGCCATTCTTACAAGTGTCTGTATATATTATTAGTTTGCTGTTTCAGGACCCAAGATGCAAACACGCCCGTCCTTCTCTGTTGCCTTTGCACAGGTAGAATTTGTTGTATTAGGTATAGTTGTGAAGCAAAATTAACTTTAAAGAAACATTGCTATAAAATTCTTATATTCTGCTTACTGTCCTTTTTAATTAAGAATATATGTGACGTCACTTGTGCAGCAAAACCACAGAAAATGCCCTTTACCACAAACCTGGTGCAAAGATTTGCAGCTGAATCAGCAAGATGCATTACTGGGGCACTATCCCATCAAACTGAACAAGCACTATATGACAAATGGAAAGTCTTTTATGTTGGACATGCCAAACACTGGGTATCACAGATAATTTGAGGTATCCTGTTAGGTGGGAAATGTTTTACTGAACAAAATTAATGAATCCCAAAATTGAGAATGTGATGGTGTATAATGTGCTCTCTATTTTATAAGTCCCCCCTCCCCCGCTGGAAAAGATCAACCAGCTCAAAATACCTCAGGAATGAATTGTCTTCTTTAGTGTACATACTGGAACTTGCTGTTTTGAGGTGATACTCTGACTGGCTTGGACGTGCCAGGCAGCTGAAACTGCTGAGAATTAATCTCTCTCTCTTTTGTTTGGGAAACAGGAGTGTATGTACTGAAACAGCCATCCCTGCCTTTACAGTTTGCCATAAACAAAAGCATAATATTCTTCCTTCTGAGACTACAGACAGTAGAAGTAAAAACAGAGAAAGCTCAAAGAATAGATGTGATGCCTGACTACCTATTTTTCTATGCTAAACTTTACCCAGTTCATGCAGTTCTCAAAGCCACCAAGGATATAAAAATCAAATAAATACACCTCTAAATTACTTCCAGAATTCATACATTTTACTGCCTCTCTCTCATTCCATTAAACCTCATTAGTCCATATTCCCAACCCAAATGAGATACAGGAAAGAAAGAAAGAAAGAAAGAAAGAAAGAAAGAAAGAAAGAAAGAAAGAAAGAAAGAAAGATGAAACAACAACATTCCATTCTTCCTCTAAGGAGCTCAAGTGGCACATATGGTCTGTCCCCCCATCCATTTTCTCCTCACAACAACTATGTTAGGTGGGTTAGGCTGAGAGACAGTGATTGAAAGGTCACCTAGTGAGCTTCCTGACTGATTGGGGATCTGAACCCCGGACTCCCAGGATCTTAGTCCCTCACTATAGCTACCACACCACACTATGTTTGCTCACATTCATCACTCATTACTCTGGCTTTTTCATTCCCTCTGGTTTTCCCCCCCACAGTTAAAATTTAGATTCCTTGGGTCAGAGACCAATTTTTCTGCTTCCATTATTCCATAAGTTCTGATTTCTGACATGAGCACATCAGAACTCCTAAATGGTCATGCATGTGTAACTTGAGATGTGGGTCTTACAGTGCTCATAGGAACACGGGTGATGCTGTAGTCTAAACCACAGAGCCTCTTGGGCTTGCCAATCAGAAAGTCGGGGTTCAAATCTGCTTGACGGGGAGAGCTCCCGTTGTTCTATCCCAGCCATAGCTGTCAACTTTTCCCTTTTCTTGCAAGGAATCCTATTTAGAATAAGGGAATTTCCCTTTAAAAAAGGGAAAAGTTGACAGCTCTGATCCCAGCTCCTGCCAACCTAGCAGTTCGAAAGCACGCCAGTGCAAGTAGATAAATAGGTACAGTTGTGGTGGGAAAGTAAATGGGGTTTCTGTGTGCTCTGGTTTCCATCACAGTGTTCTGTTGAGCCAGAAGCGGTTTAGTCATGCTAGCCACATTACCCAGAAAGCTGTCTGCGGACACATGCCGGCCCCCTTGGTCTGAAAGCAAGATGAGTGTTGCAACCCCATAGTTGCCTTTGACTGGACTTAACCGCCCAGGGGTCCTTTACATTTTTACAGTACACATCTAAATATTGCTATACCCATTCAGTTTATGAACCTAAGAAGAGTCCTGCTGGATCAGGCCAATAGCCCATCTAGTCCAGCATCCTGTTCTCATAGACGCCAATGGTAAGCTAGCTAGCAGAACCTGAGCACAATAATTAAAAATAATAATAATTCTCAGCTACAGAAAAGTCTTTGACACATAATGAATCATGCCATTTCTTGTTATTGCTCACATCCGCAGTTTCAACAACAGAGACAAAATGTCCCTGTGTAAGTACCACTTTTTAAATGACTTATAATTAAACTAACTATTGAGGCTTGTTTAAGGAAATTCGTGTAGATATGTTCAGCTTCTTCTAAATAGTGTTATGCAGTAAGTGGCTTCAAATAGACAGAGGTGTTAAAGAAAAGTAGTGCATAGTACTAAGAGCGATGCTATAAAAAGAACAAAGTGTTAGATTGAATAAACATGATATGCTTGGGAATCACAATATTAGCAACATTTCTTCTTTGTTATTTTCCATCATCTAAACTGCTAGCTCAAAAAAAAAATATCTCATTTTGATCAAAGTCTCAATGAATGTTTGTTTTTATTATGGAACTGAATATACATATGGCTTCAAAGAACTGAGTAGTCCACTAATTTATGAATGGATTCAAGTTCCCTACAAAACCATCCATCATAAGGAGTCATGCTCTCTTTTCATAACCAAAGTAAGATTTTTCTATCTCAGCCAGATTCAAAACCTTTGTTAGCTATTCAGAGATTGATGGAACCTTAGGGAAATTCTAGTACACAGCCAAGACAATCTCTGCATCTAGAATTAGATCTTCAATAGGCGATCTATCCTGAGGTTGTGCAGTGTTTGCAGTAATTCAATAGAACAACCAATAGATTGCATCTTATCCAATAATCCATCATGCATCAAACTTCTTTCCAATAATTCTCAACTGGCCTACACTTTCACAAGATGTGCATCCATTCCATGAATATGGAATGTGTGGAATTCAGGTGTGGAATGCGAAAATGATGTAAAGAAATTGGGATGGGTTCAGTGGAGGGAAACAAAGATGACTAGAGGTATGGAGCAGGGCTGTGCGTGGACACACACACACACACACACACACACACAACTCTACCCTGTGGCCCTAATCTGTGGCCTGAGGAAGGCTCTCAGCAGCTATGGATCCTGTAGACGACTTGCCACCTTCTGTTCCTGATCAGTTCCAATGAGCTCTCTCCATTTCTACTTCCAAAAACCATTTATAATCCCTTCATTTTCCCATAGTTCCTATAATTTTGTGCCTATGGCTAAGGCACTTACCTCTGTAACGTTTCCTTGAAAAGTATGTGGAGAGAAAACAGTCTGAATAACATCACACCCAGCCCACTTCAATCCTCAAACTCACTGCACTTCATCCTATCAGGAACTGTCAACAAGGTTACTTTGCAACACTATATTGAAATGGCAATGAATGGGTATACCTGTGAAAGGGCAGATAATTTCTTACTCTTCCTTCCAGCCTTCAGCTGAGAGGATCTTTGCTACACTGGAAGCCAAGAAATTGTGTGCTTTTACAGTCCCTCGACATCTGCAAAGATAAAAGAGCTTCAGTTCCAAACATTTAAAGAAGAAGAATTTGTTTCTATCACAACATGGAATATGACTGGTGTTAGTGTGGTTTCTTTGGCTAAATTTCTGCCAGGATCACTTCCCTGCCAAATTGTACATCCAATAACTATACATAATTTTTACTTTTTAATAAATGACCACTAAATGGTTGTATAAACAGAGCAAACTAACAGCATATATAGTTTATAATGAATATCTGTTGCTGCATGAGTAACAAATAACTCAGCCAGACTGACTGCAGGTCAACACCATTACCACTGGCTGGTACAGATCAATAGTTTCTCTTGCTGAGAAAGCCACATTGCAACTGTTCCAACAGATACACCCTTGAAACATCTCCTATGTTTGTACATTCAGACTGGTTTTGGAAATATGACTATTAATACAAGAGTAATAAACATTATGACTCACTGACCCATATAGCTCCTATTGCAAGATTCCCCTCTATATTATTATTCGTCTATATTTTGCATTATATTGGCAATTACTCCTACTAATCTGTATCACAGCTGGATTACGGACAACAGGCATTATCCCAGATAAAGGGCACAATCCTATGCACATTAAAATGGAAATAATCCCAACTGAATGTAGTGACATGTGTCAGTATATATTCAATGTCTTAGACAGCGTCCCTCAAAATGTGGATTGAGGAAGCTCAAAAGCAGCATCTGAAATAGCACAGACAACAACCGAAAGAAGATCTGAAAGCTTCTGCAATCACTAGGTGCTTCCTCAAGGAAACAGTTTGATTCTGGATTATTCAGCATACAAGTAGCATGTGCTAAACAGAAATGTTGTTTTTAATTGCATTTTTCCAACTTACTTTTAGCCCACCTTAGATGCTGAGTTGTGTGACATACAGTAACCCAACCAATAGCGCCAGATGCAGTACACCATTACCTTGAAACTGACCTGGTTGGATAGTGAAGACTTCGTTTATAGAATTCCTTTTTGTCTAGACAATGCACAAAATCAACTGAGAGAGAGATTGCAGACTTTGGACAACTGCTATATAAGCAGTTACCATTACCAGTACCACTAGAAGCAGCTTCTGTTTCCTGCAATCAGTTAACTAATTCATAAAAACCAATGGGAAAACAGCTGACAATGTATCTACTTGGTACTACACACCACAGATTAACAACCAATGGTAATCAAGTCTGAGATTGGATAAACACCTTTAGACAGTTTGTGTAACAAATTATTTATTATACTTCAGTCGTAAGCACAGTCTTTGAAAACATGTGACACTACGTTTCATGAAACTTAACTTGCAAATAAGAGTGAATTATCAGGTGCAATATTTGTTCAGCATCTTTTTTCCCCAACTCTGGTTTAGCTTGGATTTGCACATGTACCAGTTGGGTGGGCTGAGGAGAAAGGAAGGCTACATGGGCTAAGGCTGTGTACAGAGATTGGCACACTTAAGGTCTGAGGCCTTTGTTTTTTAAAAAATTAGAATGGTGTTTGTGTGTCTAACGTTGTGCAGTTTTAAAAAATGTTTACATGTGAGGAAGAGATCCTATGTCTAGAAATCCTCCTCTCAGTAATCCTAGTTCCAATATTACTAATGATCTGGCATGACTATCAAATACTGAAACATCAGAGGAAGAGTTTTGTAAAATTTAGAAGTAAATCAGTTATTTGGCCATATTTTGACTGATGTCTATACAACTATATTAAGGGTGCTGGGGTCTAAAAGCATAGCTGCTAGACGAGGGAAAGCGAGACGTCAGCAAAACTGTTGTCTGGGTTATACTTAAGTGATTTCATACTTGGTAGGAAAAATAGACAAAGTGCAAGCAGTCTGGCTACACATTTTTTAAAGTACTCAGTCAAAGTTTATCACAGGTTACTTGGTGGCCTAGTTGGCTGACATTTCAAAGTCCAAGATGTCTGCATTTGAGTCTAAAACTTGGCAGACAAAACAGGTTCTTTTGCTCAGCAGGAAAATCTCATTTCCTACCGGCTACTCCAACCTCCTTTAAATGCTATGAACTGATCAGGATTTCAGCACTGTTTACATATAAAACAGTTTAACAGGATTAATTTCAGGAAAGAGCATTTGCTCTAAATTTAGAAATACAACTCAGAGCTAATACTAAATATGAAATGCAACCAGCATTTTCCATGTACAAAAATTAACCTGATGTTTTGCAATGCAAAATGAATGCTGATTTATTCTGAATTGCAGTTTTATCGTATTCTTGCTTTTTTGTATATTACCTTGTTACTGTGTAAGAAAGTATGTACAGAATAGTGATAGGTGACTATCAAGTTCAGGTTTCCACAGTTTCTCATTTTTCCCCCATCTTAACTTTAGTGTCTTCCACATTTTCATGTCAGTTTCAATTTTCATTTTAGTGTGAATAGCTCCTAATGCACACTTTTGCCAAATATACACATTTTTTACAGAACAATTCCCCCTAATATAATGCAATTTTTGTATGTTATTTTCACTAATACACATATTTCTTCACACCCAATGTATGATTTTTTTGTACACAATATTCAACTGGAGAACTACAATGCAAAATTCATAGAAACGCGAATTTCAAAAGACAGCTATGTTTCAGTTCACATGTTGTTTTGGGAGGTGTGAATTAGGCAAAATATAATGTACGTAGAAGTCCTACAATTGCTTATTTGCATATAAAGAACAGTGAACGAGGCAACATCAGAATGTTCTAGAAGAGCCACAGAGCACAGCATACCTTTTTGGCTTTTCGTTCAAAGCTGTGCAAGAGAAGTATCATGAAGTGACTGACCTGAGCTGCAGAGGATGGGGAAAAAACTTTGTTGCGCAGTTACAGTACCAAATGCTACCCTCAATTCTGAAAAATGAGATGGAAAAGCACTATAGGAAAAGCAGCTTGAAATCATTTCTTAACAATCATGACTGATATTTCACATCAGCTCCCTTTTCTACAACACAATTTGTGCACATATAAACTATCCAGAAAATACAGTCATTCAGGGGCTAGAAAAACAGAGCAAGCTATGGCAAATGAAAGTATGTGTATAATTTGCTAACGTTGCCTCAAAATTGCTCAGGGTGGGATCTATCTATCCTCCAAAGTTTCAAAAGAGAACTTTGCCATCTTCATCTTCCTCCAGAAGACCCAGCTGCTTTTCATATTCCCGTAGTATAATTTTTACGCTAAGCAGACCAAAAAACTTTTATTTTCATAAATGAGGCATGCTTTTGTTTTTCTGTTTTTCAACCAGGCGAGACAAATGGCCAGTTAAGACAATATTTTAGTGCCAGTCTGGTGGACACCTTCAATGAAATATGTCTGGCACCAAAAAAGAAAAGAGGAAAAAAAGACACGTGGCCGGAGAACATTCTCTCCCACTCTCCTTGGAATACACAGCGCATTGCAAAAGTAAGACCTAGTAACTTTAGTGGGTCTTCAGGAATACACAGCCTTATAGCACAATCTAATGTACTTTGGCTCAGATGCAGGTCTCACTCAATCAGAACTACCAACACTAGTTTCTGGAAATTATAATGCTATCTGCTGCAGGAATAGCTTAGCAAGCTGAAGCCTCCTGAAAATATGGCTACAGGAGGTTGTGGTCACCACTTTAAGTAGTTGAAGAACCGTGTATTAGGAGCACTTAAATCTTCTAAAGATCTGCCGCTATATGAACACAGTGCAACACTCAAGAACTTTATCAGACCTTTCTTTAAAATGAACAACAGGGTGACCGGATATTATAGGCAAGCAGAACCTCACTTCTAAGTGCTTTACTTGGAAATGCATCATTGAAATCAAAGATTTGCTCCTTTTAGGATCTGAATATATCATAGGGGCTTCAGCAGGTATCAGCTGCAACTGGTGGGACAGAGATAGGATCTTACTGGAGTTAGACCAGCTTGTTTTATGTCCCTTGCTTCACCCTTTCCTCCCACACTCCGCTTTTTGGAGGCGCACAGTTTTCCTTTTTTTCTGTTTACTGTCAATGTAATCTGACTTTGATTGGTTTGGAGAACTCATCCATCTTAGCTCGTGGTTCGTCAGGCAGACTAATCAAAGGAGCTTGCAGCCTCCCACTACAAATGCAGAGGGGGGCACAAAAGAAGCAGAAAAGGAACTGGAGAAAGAATAAAAGTCAGAAACAGATATAGGAGACATTAGAAACATAGGAGATATGGGGGGGGCTGTTACTAACTAAATTTCTCCGTAGTGAAGTACTTGAGTAAGCCAATCATCTATAATATGTATTAACTCACTATTGGGTTGGTGCTTTGATAAATACACACCAGACCCAGAAAACCAGGACTCAAGGTTAACACAGAAGCACTGAATGGTGATTAATATAATAATGTAGTATAATATATGATCTATGATCTGATCTGATCATTCAGGAATGTGCTGTATAATGCATATATATAATTCAAGGATGTGCTGTAACTAACTACAGTGGTACCTCTGGTTACCAACTTAATTCATTCCAGAGGTCTGTTCTTAAGCTGAAACCATTCTTATCCTGAGGTGTGCTTTCGCTAATGGGGCCTCCCGCTGTGTGAGCTCCTCTGGCACACGATTTCCATTCGCACCCGGGATAAAGTTTGCAACCAGGAGCAACTACTTCCAGGTTAGCAGAGCTTGTAACCTGAAGCATTCATAACCAGAAGTGTTCGTAACCAGAGGTACCACTGTACACACACACACACACACACACACACCCTGATTTAAATCTGCTATGCTAATTCTGCTAATTTTGCTCGTGTTGTTTTGCTACTATTTTATGGAATTCACTTTTTTTTTTTACCTTTCTCTTTTATGCTGTTTTAAATTGAATTTGTAAGGTTACTTTAAATGCTCTGAGGTGCCCTGGACATTTTTTTAGGGTAGGGTATAAATTGTTTAAATAATAAAATGAAATATAAAGCAAAGCAAAGCAAAGCAATGTACTTGCACCCTCCTTTTTCTTAGGAAAAAGCCCTTGCTCTTAGGATTTGGCTGCATATTCCCTACAATGTCCTAGATGGGTGATAATCTTTCTTCCCCCTTATCTCCAGACATAGGACTGGTTCTCAAGATCATGTGGCCAGTGTTCTACTCCAAGAAGGATATTCCTGTCACTGTCTAACAGAAGGGGAAGAAGCAAATGTGGTGTTTGCCCACTCATTATGGAGATGTCGTACCGGCGGAGAAAGCGAAAGTGTTAATAGGCTGACCAATAAGAAAGCCCGGGGGCGGAGCCTAACTGTGTTTAAGGCTCAACACAGGGGTTTTGGCAGTTAGTTTGGTTGGTTTCTTGTGGGTGGGAGGCATAGGAGTCAGAGTGAGTTAGAGACAGAGGGGAGACAGAGAGAGTGAATCGGAGTATAGTGTTTCAAAGTATTTAAAACCTGTTTGCGTTTACAATAAACTGGAATCTTTGTTAATACGTTACAACCTGACTGAGTCTGAATATATTACCGGGGAAACCTGGTTGGTGGCAGTGGAAGAGATAAGCCGTGGTGGTGCAGGGCCAATGGTCCGTGGAATGACTGGGGCTCTGTGCGAACGCCACAGTAAGGTTCACGCATCTCCCCTCTACCGAACCCCATGTCCTCCCATAAAATCTATTGCGGAGGGATGGGGTGCCCTCTAGAACAGTGATCAGTGGAAATTACTCGCACCCCTACCTTCTTTCTGTTGGGAGGAATGGCTGCTTCATCAAAGGCCCTTTTCATTCATGGAAGGACTCGTTCTGACCAGACATTTTATACATGATTTCTGACCATAGATTGTCTCCCATATGTGGTGAAAACATTACAACTATAGCCAGCAGCATCAACAAAAGTGTAAGGTAAAAGTAAAAGCATTCAATCACTCATACGTTATGTTTGAAAAATCATTCTCAAGTTATGGGAAAGGACTAATGAAAATCCAAAAGGGTCTGAAAACATGAAACATGCCAACGGAAGTCAAGATAATCAAAGGCACTGAGAATGCCAAGTGAAAGGTAGGCAGCAGCGGCAGCAGCAACAGAGAACAGAGAGGCTGAGAAGTGGAGAGGTTTAGGAAGGTTGAACCAATTACCAATTAGGAAGTCAATTCCTGAGTTATGTTACAAATAAGCATGCCCTACCAAATCTAAGAAGGAATGTCTGTGCCACTTAGTGGTACAATCTTTCCTATTGCAAGGTTCTTTGTGAAACCCACACATACTTGCAGGAAATGTTCTATAAGGAAGGCTGTGGGCCTAGGAGATGACTGGAAATAAAAGATTCAGTTGGAAGAGCACATGTTCAGAGATATCTATGCCAGATTTGATTCACATTTCCAGTGACAACTGAAGGAACAGTTGTCATCAGGAAGGGTAGTAATCTTGCCAGCCATTCCGTCTGGCAAGTGCAACAGAAGCTGTTTCCGCAGTCCTGTTGTGTTGGGTGAGACATTCATCGACATTTATATGATAACCAGCTAAGGGGCAGATTCCTGCAAGCCTCTCAGGATGGGGGAGAGAGAGGGAGGGAGAGAGAGTGTTTCCAATGTTCAGGCTGTGAGTGCCACTGCTTACGTAGCTAAAATGGTATCAGCCAACCAAAAGAAGGCCATATTAGCAGGTTTGGGGTAACCTCCAGCTTATAGGGGATGCAGGTTGTGCTGTGGTCTAAACCACTGAGCCTCTTGGGCTTGCCAATCAGAAGGTCAGCAGTTCGAATCCCCGCGACAGGGTGAGCTCCCGTTGCTCAGTCCCAGCTCCTGCCAACCTAGCAGTTTGAAAGCACACCAAAACATGCAAGTAGATAAATAGGTACCGCTCCAGCGGGAATGTAAATGGTGTTTCCATGGGCTGCTCTGGTTTCAGTGTTCCGCTGCACCAGAAGCACCTTAGTCATGCTGGCCACATGACCCAGAAAAACTGTCTGTGGACAAACGCTGGCTCCCTCAGCCTGTAAAGCGAGATGAGTGCCACAACCCCAGAGCCATCTGCGACTGGACTTAACTGTCAGGGGTCCTTTACCTTTACCTTTTTTTACCAGCTTATAGAGGCTGGGTGACAATCTGTCATGGATGCTTTACCTAAGATCCCTGCATTGCAGGGAGCTGGATTAGACAACCCTTGGATATGAAGCCCAAGGTATGTGCTGCTTTTCAAAATTTTAAGAATTACTGCTACGTAACACTCAGAATGGGACACGGGTGGCGCTGTGGGTAAAACCTCAGTGCCTAGGACTTGCCGATCGTATGGTCGGCGGTTCGAATCCCCACGGTGGGGTGGGCTCCCGTCGTTCGGTCCCAGCTCCTGCCCACCTAGCAGTTCGAAAGCACCCCTAAGTGCAAGTAGATAAATAGGTACCGCTTTATAGCGGGAAGGTAAACGGCGTTTCCGTGTGCTGCGCTGGTGCTGGCTCGCCAGAGCAGCTTCGTCACGTTGCCCACGTGACTCGGAAGTGTCTTCAGACAGCGCTGGCTCCCGGCCTCTTAAGCAAGATGAGCGCACAACCCTAGAGTCGGACACGACTGGCCCGTACGGGCAGGGGTACCTTTACCTTTAACACTCAGAATAGATATTCAATGGAAGATATGCACAAACACAAAAATAGACTTGGCCCACACAACCAAATTATTGTTCCTGCTGCTGTATATATATGAACAGAAAGAGAATATATGTAAGTCTCCCTAACTTTTGGAGGAGGGAGGAAAGGAGCTGTAGGGAAAATGAATTTTGACCATTTTAATTCTGAAAGCATCACACTTGGGCCAAACTAGGCAAGACACCATTCATGCAATTAGCAATTGTATGGATGACTTTTAAAAAGCAAATGGTCATGGAGGCTATGGTCTGGATTGCCACAACAGTGAAGGTAAAAGAATTGCTTTACTTTCATGGATTCAGTTATGTTAGTACATCTTGGGGGGGTGTGAAGAATCTTTTGTATAGAAAAAAGTCAATGTTCCCCAGATTGCCCACCCCCAGAAGGACTGTAGCTCAGTGATAGAGTGTATGGTTTGCATGGAAAACATCCCCGTGTTTTAGCCCTTGACATCTCTAAGCAATAATGGGAAAGTCTGCCGCCTGAAATCTAGTCAGCTAGATGGGTCAATGGTTTGACTCAGTATAAGGTAGCTTGCTGTGTTCAAGCACTTAAAAGTTTGGTTTTCAGGAAGCAATGGTTGACTTACGGAACAAAACAATCACTATAAGCTGCAACTTGAATACATTAATTCTATTATCATATATATGTGCACATAGTACAATACAGGAAGATAAGCCAAAAAAAGAGGGGGAGACACACTTTTCACAAGCAAATGTTAGAAAATACAGCAAATTCTACAGTTCTAGAATTTCAGTGCTTAGTGTCTAGTTTTGGCAATGTACCAAAACTTTGCACAGGCCTATCTCAAAGGACACACTTCCCCATGGTTGACTGGCTGGCTGTCTACTTGAACAGGAACGCTCCACCTTTCAACTTTCTGTTGCAGGCCCCACCCTAATGTATAAAAATGCATTTATTTCAATGGGACTAATAATGCACAAATAGTTATGTGAGGGGCTGAAGACTATTTCATTGATTTGACCATTCCGCCCATTCCCAACAGCTCGTAGTAGGAGGCAATGGGATGGTGAACCTATGGCCCTCCAGACATTATTGGGGTCCAACTCCCATCAGCCCCACACTGTATCATCAATGGTCAGGGATAGTGGAGGGCTGGCGTCTCCAGAAGCACTTGAATGACAACAGGTTCCCCACCCATCACAAAACCACGTACACTTCTAAAAACAAGATAATGTGACTCGGTTAACAAGTTTGCAAATAATTACATATTCGTGTGCTACTTTAATTTTGCTCTGTGTCATCAGTCTGAAAATACTTTCCTGCTCATCTTGCAGATGCCCCAAACATATGTCTTTGATTTACCTGAGAGAACAAAGCGCCTCATCTTGACTCTAAACAGATGAATAGTTAATCAAAGCACTTGACACGGTAAAGGAATGTGCAAACATGCAAAGAACTGGAGAAGACAGATTCAAACAGAAAATACTGCATGAAAAAATAATAGTAAAAATTAGCACATTTTAAAAAACACTGGGACTTACTGAGGACCAGTGTTGACAGAGACTCTGAACACATCACTTGGTGATCTGTCTGTGGGTGGGTTGTTGGTTTTTTTTCATATTTATTATCAGGGGGTGTCATCAGGATTACAAAGATCACATCAGGAACTCCCTGCGTTGTTATGGTCTTTTTTTCTTTTCTTATGAAAGCCTACCACATCACATCTCATTTTACCTTCAATTGTAATGACAGCATTAGATAAACAGAGAAGCCTTCTCCTTCCAAAAAACATGGTTGTAGTTCTCTGTGGTCGTATCCACACCATACATTTAAAGCACTAACAGTCACAACTTCCCCAAAAGAATCCCAGGAACTGTAGTTTACCCATCAAAGAATTGTAATTGAAGCATCCTTTAAAAAAAATACATTTCCCAGGATTAGATGTATGGTGTGGATGTCACCTATGTGCACTGGCCAAGGAGAATGGATTGTAATAGTTCATTTTAAAAGGGTCCAGTGAGGAAAGCTACCCCTGCTTCTTGTCCTAGCGGCCACTAGGCTGTGCATATGGATGTTTGGATGGCATCCATTACTCATCCATTTAGTACTCTTTGTCTGAGGCTGTGTACACATTACTAGCGGAAAACACAGCCAGGTTGTTCTTTTTCTCAATTCCAATCGAAGATGGTTTTGGGAGGGGACACATCAAAATGCAGTATTTCATAAGAAACAACAGAACAGATTCAGGATAGACATGGACTGCAGCTAGGCCAATTCCCAACTCAGTAGTGGGAGAGCGCTGGATGCAGACTGAATGGGATTGTGTACACAGCCTAAATGACACCTAGGGAGCAACCCTTGCCCTTAACCTCTGCCTCAAGTGGGGTTTTGAAGCTGGCAGAGATTTGCCTCTGCTGGGCTCTGCCAATGGAAGCCCTCTCTGTGAATCTTCCAAAAGCAGTGTCGAGGACACTGACCGAAATTTACGGGCATTCTGCCTCCTGCAGTGGAGGCAGAAGTGTTGTACAGCATGCTACCCTGGGGAATAAAAAGCATGAGAGACACAGCAGTCTCTTTCTTTCCTTAAGTGACCTTCCCACAGGTCCAGGAACAGCACCTGAGAAGCCCCACTTCTGTTGCGCTCAAAAGGTACTGTCTACTTCCCTTGAGAGATGAGGAAGGATCAGAGCCATCCCACTTTCTTTTATGAGCGTAGTCTGCCACTGCTGGAAATTATAAATCAACAGGAAGGCTATTGTGTGTTTGTATACACAACTATGGGGCCATTTGCAGACCTTGACTGTTGGCCTGTTACGGTTTCCGTCATGCTGAGTACAGCTGGAGAGGAGAGAGACCTTTGTACGGTTTTGTGCTTGTTCAACACCTACGCAAGACAAGATTATAAAACAATTTGGTGTTTATTGAGGCAAACATACTTTAATGTGGGCTGCCTCCTGCCAATATTAGTAGGCTTCTGAGTATGATGGCATTTAAAACAAGAAAACATGACCAGTTTTGAAAAGGGTGGCTGTGGGGAAAGAAAATGCCAGCTCATCAGCAAAATAGGAAGCAGCTCAAAAAGGACATTTTAAAAATCAATATAATTGACACAACATAACTTCACAAAAAAACAAAAACTACTACCTTGCAAACACTTATACTAGTTCGTCTGCCCATGCATATCAGCATAACTCCTTGGTGAGACGTCCCCACCCTGTAAACAGTGCTTCCTTCAGGTTTTTATTTCGTGGGGTGGAGCCTGGGAAGGGTCCATCGTTCAACAGGCCAGAGTACATATTTTGTATGCAGAACATCTCAGGTTCATTTGCCAACATCACCAGATAGGACAAGGAAAAGGTCCTGCCTGCAACTCTGGGGAGCTACTGTCAAATACTGCTACAGATGGTCTGATCAAAATAAGGCAGCTTCCTATGAGCCTAAGAACATTGGCCCCAGGAGGCCCACTCCTTTAGGAAGCTGTCTTATACTGAACCAGGCCATTGGTCTATCTAGTTCAGTGTTGCCTACATTAACAGGCAGCAGATGAGCTTCAGGCAGAGGTCTTTTCCCAGCCCTACCTGGAGATGCTGGGGGGTTGAACCTGGGCTTTCTGCCTTCAAGGCAGGTGCTCTACCATTGAGCTATGGTCCTTCTTCAAGTAGGTACACCTCCACTGTCATGACTGCCCATCGGCTTGCCCTCCAGGTCCAGTTTGTATCGCTGCAAGTCAGGGTAAATGGAAGCTCTTGCATCTTCTCCTAGGGTCCCCTCCAGATTGGTAGGCTTTGTATTCTGTATTCTGGTGGGGCTGTATTCTGCAACATGTCTTTGGCTCAATCATAGTGCATTCCACGGTGGATTTATACTGGATTATACTGGATATTCATGCTGACTTTTTAAAAAAAAATTCACAGATTAATGTGGAAACAGGATGGAATGAACACAAGTGAAACAAACATGAAATGGAAATGATCCATCCATCCTTAGCTGAATTGTGCCATCTCTGTTTACCCAATTAGTAGGTCTAACTTGCTCTCAAGATTCTGCAACTATTGCTACAGGGAAGTAGAGAAAAATATGAAAGGGTTGAGCTTCAAGGAACAAGCTTAATACCTACTCGTTTTCAATACTGATATTCAAACTGTGGCAAGGAGATTGGTTCTGATTGTTTCATCTTGAACATCTGACCTTGAAATCTACCTCAAGGCAGATTCTGAATGTTAAATTCATTTGAGCCCTACTCCAGTGTGCTAGAGAATTATTTTTCACCCCATCTACTAAATTAGAATGTGCATCTTGCTAATTGGCTGTCTTGCTTGCTTTATTTGGAAAGTCAAAGTTATCTTTAGCCTTCTCATTCTGCCTAAAGAAGTCAGTAAAGCATGGAAGCTGGCACACTCTCTCATCAGCAAAAATTGCATCCACAAGAGACATAATCTTAGTTGCGTTGCTATTATTATTATTAACATAAGACACAGGAACGTAAGACAAACCCTGCTCAATTAGACTGAAGGTGCATTTAGTACAGCATCCAAGTTCCCACAGGGACCAACTCGATGCCTCTGGACTGCCCACAAGCAAGGCAATCATCCCCCAACAAACACTATTCTGTGGTAGACGGCCTTTATTAAAAAGGGTTATATAGTGAGAAAACACAAGCAAGCAGTAGGGATTCTCGTAATCCAAGGGGAGAGCGAGAACGAGAGTCTGAAGGCTGGGCTGTATATGAGGGGATAATGCAGTTTCTTTGTTTATTCCTTTTCCTCGCTCTTTATCCCATTGTTCCTCCAAGGATCTCAAGTTCTCCCCCTCCTCAACTTTGCCTCACCAGAACCATGTGAGGTAAATTAGTTAGGCTGAGAGACTGGCTCAAGATCTCTCTGTGAGCTTCATGGCTGAGTGGTCTCCCAGGTCCTAGTCTGACCACTCAAATCACTATGCCACACCGGCTCTCCACAATAGTTTAGTTCAGTGTGTCTGAATCCAATACACACACCCAAATACAAAACTCTGTAATTGTACCACACTGGCTCTTCACACTTAACTGGGAAGGATTAAGAAGTTTAAACATGATGCAATGGTTTTAAACTAAAAAAGCATATCATATAAATTAAATACAGTGGTACCTCAGGTTACAGACGCTTCAGGTTACATACGCTTCAGGTTACAGACTCTGCTAACCCAGAAATAGTACCTCGGGTTAAGAACTTTGTTTCAGGATAAGAAAAGAAATCTTGCTCTGGCAGTGCAGCAGCAGCGGGAGGCCCCATTAGCTAAAGTGGTTCTTCAGGTTAAGAACAGTTTCAGGTTAAGAACGGACCTCCGGAACGAATTAAGTACTTAACCCGAGGTACCACTGTATGGGCAGAGAGAATCCACAAGAGAAGTCATCATCAGTCCAAATGCAAACCTTAAAACAAGATATCCCATACCTCAAACGTGGGTAGCCCGCAAGCCTTACACTACTCACACGGACCTCCAGTGTGACCAGCCATGGGTGCCCAAGCCTCTTCCACCACCAAATTCCACCCCTGACCAATGTAAATTTTGCTTTGGAGGGGGGAGGTGACAGCGTGATTTCAGTGAGGAGTGATAGACATCATGAAGTTATGGGTAAACCGCAGCTAAAGGCATATTTAAACTATTCTTTTATTTAAAAAATATACTGGTCTGCTGTGGTGAATTGGGCCCTACTAACCTCCATCTGCCCTCCGCCAGCCCCCAGCTTCACCCTGACAACTAATCCAGCATGGCTTTACCTGTCATTGGCTCTGGGTTCACCCACTCTTGGTCTCCCCATCTTCCATCCTACCTGTCCCTATGAACACCAGCCACCATTGGCCATACCTCAGTGGTAGTGTGCATCTTTTGTATGCAAGGGATCCCAGGTAGGGCAGAGAAAGACGTCGGCCTAAAACTCTAGAAAGCTGCTTCCAGTCATGGTAGAAAACTTTGAGCTAGATGGAACATTGGTCTGACTGTGTGTAAGGCCATGTTTCACTACGTTGCTCACTGCCAACTAAGATTTCAGTCTGGGTAAAATTTAGAAGCAAAAATGTGCATAAGCAATATAGCAGGTGAAGTATGATCTGATCACCATAGTATCAAGATAAACACATAACCCTCTGTTTTTATAGGTGCCAGGAAAATACCTATATGTTGTGTTCTAGGTTGTTTGCCAAATGTTGCTTCATAGATATTCGCCACCCTATCATTTTATTTGCCTCCCAGGGTTGTTATAAGAGCCGTAAAAGGGTAGAGTTGTCTTCTTCTTTCAATTCAGGCTTATGTATGCGGTGAAATTCTAACACATATCAGTAATTATGAGCACAGAACCAGTGGGTGTTCCCCATTCTGGATTACTTTGTGGATTTTGTTAATATTTAAAAGTGTGATCTCGAGCGCAAACCCTAATTAAATATCCTGCAAGACAAGATTCCATGGTGGCTACAAAGTAAAAAAAAAAAAAAAAAAGACTGTGAAATCCAGGAGATTTAACTACAGATTCTGTTGTATGATTGCAAGTCAAATCTGTTCCCCTCAGATCAACTGCCACATGTACATGTGTGAAATCAAGAGAAGGCAAAGCCAGATCCATCAAGGAGGGGAAAGCGATCCAGTAAGATGAAAGTAAGACGTTGATGCTAAACTTTCACTGAAATGCATTCCTTTCTCAATTCTATTACTGCTTGAAACTTAGTCTGTGACCGCAGGTACTGTGTGCCTCCACAACTGCCCCCCCTTGGGGGGAAAAACCCTTTCTAGAGTCGTGATTTTTCATGAGTAAACTTTTGCTCACAAAAGCAGAGTCCCTCTTATTTTAGACATTGTGGTATAAAGCCAAGATTTCACACTGTGCTAAAAGCATTACAGCATCCACCAAAAGCGCAAAATGTATTTTAAAAATGGTGAGGCCGTACACAGAATAGCTGTGGTTTCTGAACTCTCGCCAAGTCAAGTTGGAGGCTTCTCTCCTTGCCCAATGAAATTAAAGCACAAGCCGGAAAAGATATGTATAAAATGACCTGCAGTCTACTATATCAAAGCTAGCAGATTGCTTTTACTCACTGAAGCACACTAAAATCAGTGTACACCCTTTATATTTCATTGACTGTTAATCTGCCATTATCCTATTTCAGACTGAAATACCTTATGCTACCATTGTGCTTTGATGGCTCGACAACACTGGCTTAGAGGCAATTTTAGGGGGTGGGAGGAACAAAGCCTCTTGGGGCCAGTCCTTCCTTCCTTCCTTTCTTTCTTTCTTTCTTTCTTTCTTTGCATTTTTAAAACAACACAGAATTTTTTAAAAAATGAGTTACAGAGGCAGAAAAACAGGAAGAGTCGAATGCACTCCTGGTTTTAAGTAAATGTAAAGACATCTTGCTAAAACAGAAATTGTTTCACATCTGCATGTTTTCCATCGCCATTTAACACCTCTCACTGTGGCCCAGTGTATACATACCACTAAAGCATGGTTATGCATTATGAAGACACCACAGAAATCCACAGGCTTCCCCCTCCCCACCCCACCCTTCTTCTCAGGCAAGGCCATGTGGAGGAGGTGAAGCACTTCTACTTCCATGTTAAACTATCCACAGTTACAAGTGAACCCTAAAATGTGGCTCTTTTCACTATGGTTTATAGAAATAAAACATCTTCCACTACTCTTCGGCTTGTTTCAACAAACCACAGCTAAGATTAACCACAGGTTGCCTTGGTTCTAACAACATGCCAAGCCATGGTTAATCTAAAACAGATATAAAACATTTCACACTGACCCTGAGGGCACTAGATGAAAGAACATTGCCATTTCTGTTGGGGCAAAACTGGGTATGTACATCCCACACCTCTGCCTCAGGCTACTTATGTGCTGTGACCCATAACTACGTATATTTGGATAAAGGCTTTTGTCTTCTTGCTGCTACAACCTAACAGTGCCTTTTCTGGAGAGTGTTTTGAATTGTGGGTGTATATTAAAAGACGCCTGCTCCTTGGGAGAAAGGCGATGGCAAACCTAGAGAGCATCTTAAAAAGCAGAGACGTCACCTTGCCAAAAAAAGGTCCGTATAGTAAAAGCTATGGTTTTCCCATTAGTGATGTATGGAAGTGAGAGCTGGACCATAAAGAAGGCTGATCTCCGAAGAATTGATGCTTTTGAATTATGGTGCTGGAGGAGACTCTTGAGAGTCCCATGGACTGCAAGAAGATCAAACGTATTCATTCTGAAGGAAATCAGCCCTGAGTGCTCACTGGAAGGACAGATCGTGAAGCTGAGGCTCCAATACTTTGGCCACCTCATGAGAAGAGAAGACTCCCTGGAAAAGACCCTGATGTTGGGAAAGATGGAGGGCACAAGGAGAAGGGAACGACAGAGGACGAGATGGTTGGACAGTGTTCTCGAAGCTACAAACATGAGTCTGACCAAACTGCAGGAGGCAGTGGAAGACAGGAGTGCCTGGCGTGCTCTGGTCCATGGGGTCACGAAGAGTCGGACACGACTAAACGACTAAACAACAACAACACCAAATTTCTTCTAATCAATTGGTATTTGACCATCTAGGATTTTCTGGCTACCAAAAAAGAGAGCTCTACTTTTGCACCTAGAATTCATATTTAGGACTTGTTAAGCAGTTGAAAATTGTTAACAGATAAGTGGCCATAGTTCAGCAACAGAGCACCTGTGTTATGCATGTAAAATGTGCCACATGCAATGATTAGGAAGACTTTGCCTGAGACTCTGGAGAGCCACTGATTCATAGCTCAAGCTTTTGGTCAGGGGAAGGACTGTACCTCATTGGAAGAGCAAAAGGTCACAGGTTCAATCCCTAGTGTCTGAAGTTTGGGTTGGGAAAGCCGCCTTCATGAAACCCACTCGGTCTATGTGGATAATACTAAGCTAAATGGATCAATTGTCTGGTCTCCTATGAGGCAGTTTCCTACAGTAGGTCCAAAATTTCCCCACTACATTTTCAGCTTTCAGCTCCACTGATGAAGACAGGGGAGAGGGGAGAGGAAAGCCAACACAGCAGCAGGAAGTCTTTGTGGGAAAGACTGAAACAAGATCAGGGGTCTCCCTAAGGATAGAAAAATAGCTGCATCCAACCAGACACAGTGCAGGACCTGGAGAAAAGACACGGACAGCTTTAAAAAGATTTTTAAAGGCCAGCAATGAGGATACTAGAACCTCCATTTTATTAAATAGGTCAAAGAAGGAGGGTGTGAACCATCTCCCTTTCCTGTATACATACTTGCCTTACAAAAAAAAAAAAAAAAAGGAAAGGAAAGAAAGTCCCTCTAAAGGAAACTCTGGTCAGCAAAAGCAAATCGCATTTTAGAAGGGAAAGGGAATCCAGCTTTTTCACTACAAATGCAAATTTTCCTACTTTAGCCATAAAGCTCATTGGCCAGCACTGAGCCAGCTGCTGGCTCAGAGCTTACTATATCTCACCAGCTTGTTGGGAGGATCAGTGAGGGGAGAACAGTGTGCCTCTGAATACCAGACAGAGGTATGTCCTGAGAGAACCAGAGGATGTGTTGGGGCAGCCACATCCTCACTTCCTTAGGGTTACTTAAGAATTGTGCTTGCTGAGCAAAGGCAGAAGCAGGCTAGGCAGCTATTGCTATCAATTCCTGAAGATATTTTGTGCCATCTGCTTTTGCAACAATATTTTAGCTTGCGAACCACCTTGGGTTCCTTGCCAGAATGTGCATATTAATGCAACAAATAAACAAAGTTATGTATATCGGGAGCCAGAGGTGACCATAATTGAGCCACACCAAGTCAAAGTTTACCTTGAACGTTTATTATAGAATACATAATCTACTCTGAAAAAAATAATTTTGGTCTTTCCCACTTCTTCATCCAACCCCAAACAAATAATGGGCTCTGAGCACATTAGGGTGCAATACTGTACTTCATGCAACACCATCAATTTGGAAGTTCCATCCATTGAAACATAGCTGTTTGAATAGCTGTGAGGCAGTATTTAATAATGTTTGGAGATGCCATCCCTCCTGAAGGAGAGTTCCTATTTATCACACTAATCCAAACCATGGCTTAGCGTGACCGTGTGGACTCCCAGAGAAGAGCCAATAGCTGCTTTGCTCCTTCCGGGTCCTTTTTGCTTCGACACTGAGACAAGTCATGGTTTCATACTAAATCAGCTTCATGGTTAAGCACTCTCCATACTGACCTGAAGCTGGAACCCAGGTTTGTTTTGCTAACTGACTTTATATACTGCAATTTGTCCAAGATCATTTAATACTTTCCCCTCTCATATTATTATTATTATTATTATTATTATTAGGCACCCTGGGTGGCTCCCAACAACATATTAAAACCACAATAAAACCTCAAACATTAACAACTTCCCTGTACAGGGCTGCCTTCTGATGTCTTCTAAATGTCATATGGTTATTTAGCTGTTTGACATCTAATGGGAGGGCATTCCACAGGATGGACACTATTACCAAGAAGACTCTCTGCCTAGTTCCCTGTAACTTCACTTCTCACAGTGTGGGAACCACCAGAAGGCCCTTGATGCTAGATTTTAGTGTTTGGGCTGGATGATGGAGGTGGGGAAGCTCCTTCAGGTGTACAGGGCATTAGACACTCCTTCAAGTATTACAGTTTTAACAAGAAACCTACCGTATTTAAAAATATAGCTACCACCATATAACAAATTCTTGAGGAAATATTACATACCCAACACAATAAACAACTATAATTTTAAAGGGGGGATTAACTCCTTGGCTAATCCTTTAATTAAATCTTAGGGTTCTTCATGAGGAGAAGCAACAGTATCATCTTCCTGAAGCCCTAACTTGATTATCACATTTTCTATTTTGATATGTTCATTTTCTCTGCGTGATCTTCTAGCTATTTCACATAAAACAAAAAAGGTGATGGAGGGCAACCCTGTCAAACTTCCCTCTAAGAATAACCATTTTGACCTTTAAGCAAGGTTGAACAAGGTTTGTCAGAAAAGTCTCCGGCATGGATTCATACAACATTCTAGTGCCAACAAATTAGAAATTCATCAAGCTGCCACTAATTACAATTTTTAACATAAGGGACTTGGAATGCTGACTTCTAATCTTGGCAACCTTGAAGCAGTGCTTAAAAAAAAACACCACCAGGCTCATCTAGATTTAACCAATCCACTCTCAATTAGTGATGGGCAAATCTTTCAATTTTGGCTACTGCCGCTTGCTGGGACGGAGAGATAGAGGAGCGAAGTGATAGGGAGGTCAGTGCTGTGCAAATGCACCAGCAGGAATGCCATATTGACTCTGTCGGTGCATCTGCACAGCACTGAACTCCCTGCTGCCTCACCCCTCCCACTCTCCCACCCAGTAAGCAGCAAAAATTCCACTGCCGGGAGGTTAGGCAAGTCCCACAAAGACTAAGTCTTTAGCTGCTATCATGGAACAAATATTTGTTTGTGCTACAACATTTTAAAGCAGTTCTTTTGGATCAGGTGATACATATAGAAATTAGCAGTACTCTCCCACTCCCAAGTCTTATTTCCAATAAAACTCACAGTGCTAAATGCAATGTCCACTCCTGCTCTAAACCCAGTGCTATTTTTCTAGAAAAAGAGGGGCTGGAACTCACCACGAACCTCTCCATTGTTTTCTTATAATGGCAATGGCCTCCACTTGAGAGGTGCCAGAACTGAGTCCTGGCAAGTTCCAGCTGGAAAAAAGCCTTGCCTAAACCCATTCAGATCTGTCATGCTTTTAAAGATTTTGAAGGCACTTTTGAAGGTACTTATTTGGTAGCCAGAGGCGACAAGGAATTGTACGCTGGCGAGTGGGTGGGCTGGTGGAGTACTCTGTCTCTCTTCTGTGCCCAGCATAGAACATAAGAAACTAAGAGGCGCCTTCTGGATGAGGCCAATGACCCATCTAGTCAGCCAGATGCCTGTGGTAAACCCACAATCAAGATGTGAGCACTCTTCCCTTGAGCGGTTTCCAACAACTGGTAGTCAGAAATCAAGCATATTATCAGAGGAGAGACGCCACAGTCCATGACCTCATTTCTATGAAGTACTACTGTTGAGAGCCTGCAGTTTCCTGTCCCTCCTCTGGCACCCCACCCCACCCCCCCAGGAAGCCAGTAAACAATTGTGCAGATTAGTAACTTTCATGGAATTGTTTACAAGGCTGCTATAAGGTATATATGCCCAGGGCCAGACTTTGGTTTGATGAGGCCCTAAGCTACTGAGGGTAATGGCACCCTTTATATGTCCAGCTGTCCTTTGTCAACAGCAAATTGTCACTGTTTTTTGTGTTGAATATATGCTATATGGTAATTTATGGACCTAATAGGTATCTAAAGCCATTTGCACATCACAAATAGGAGCCTACACAACACAAAACACTGTTGCTGTTTGTAGGTTTTATTTTATTTGTTTTTTATCTTATATTTTGGAAATGTACATCCAGGTGTTTTTTTCCTTCAATTTTTTGGGGGGCCCCCAAGAGTGGGGCCCTAAACTATAGCTTGTTTAGCTTATATGTAAATCCGGCACTGTATATGCCATTTTATTGTAACCACTGACTTCTGCTTACAGTTTCCTCAGCTTGTTTAAATCCCTAGGGACCTTTTTTGCGAATCCATTATTATAGCATAGTTCTGATCTTTTGCTATCCTGAAACTAAGATAGACAAAGCAGATGACCTCTTGCATTATTCCTGCCCCATCAATTGTTCCCCGGGGCATTAAAACAGCCCAGGAAAAATAAAGACAGACCATGAATACATTTGCAAAGAAGGTAGCACATCCATATGAATTCTCTGACCATTATAATTCTGCTCAACATTATGTGTTTTTGCTTCAGATACACAAGCCAAATCTGCTTGTGGGGTAGGCAGGGTCCCTGAATGACTCATTATTTTGCTCTAACAGTACAGTCATACCTTGGTTGTCGAACTTAATCCGTTCCAGGAGTCCGTTCGACTCCTGAAACGGTTCAAAAACCAAGGTGTGGCTTCCGATTGGCTGCAGGAGCTTCCAGCACTCAGTCGGAAGTCGCAGAAGCTGCATCGGATGTTTGGCTTCCGAAGAACGTTCTCAAACTGGAACATTCACTTCCGGGTTTGCGGCGTCCGGGAGCCAAAATGTCCGAGTACCAAGGTGTTCGAGGTGTTTTAGTGAAGTTATGTGTTTGTATGAAACTCAGTAAATATTATTGGGGGGGGGAGAACCAAGGTACGACTGTATTGTCTTCCCCTTATTCAAGAGATTTACCACACTCACTTATTCACAGCATGTGACCTGTGACCATTAGCTAGGTGTTAAAATTATGATCCACAATGGAAAAAATTAGATCTCATTTAGAACAAAAAAGAAAACAGATGGGAAAGCCTATTTCTAAATTTCTACAGAAGGGGTAAAAAAGAAAGATAAAGGAAAGGGGGAAATAACATTCAGATGAATTAAGTGTGCAAATCATCAAGTGAAAGATACATTTCCAAATACAATTTAACAGACATTTGAGCATCATGTTCACCCATTTAATTACCTTTAAACATTCTGCTATTATAATGGTTTGGCTATGTTTCGGCCAGCAAAACTACTACTGAAATGAGAACTCCAAAAAAGGGTTGTTTCACACTAATGCCTCTTCCAGAATGGAATAAACCCTCACTGCCCCCCTCCCCCAAATGCCCTATAAGAAGAAAGTTGAGCAGAAGTGGGGAAAACTGAATGAAGTAAATTGCAATGTTTCCATTTGTTCGGGGTTCTTCATGCTTTTTACATTTATTTTTGCAGTTTTCATAAAATGCACTAGGTTAAAAGGACTTTGTGTCTTTTTAGTAATGCAATATTTCACGCTCAGTTTATATCCACTCATGGATTGAAAATTTCACTTTGTTATTGTCTTCAGCTCTGGATGTTTTGGAAATAAAAAAACTCTCCCCCCCCCCGACTAATTCACATGATTTTTCTTCACATCATTGCCCTGAGCAAGTAAAGCCCACTCTAAAGGAAAGATACCGTGTGATCATATACTAGCCTTGAGCCATAGGTTTCACAGAGTCCTTATTATAGGAGGCCCTTATTATGGAAAATTCCTGGACAGTGTTTATTCCAAGCACATCATGTGGTCTGACACAGCCCCTTCCTTATGGGGTTTAGTCTCCTTCAGAATTCAGGCACCTGTCCCTGACAAACCATTTGGACATCAGATATTGGTGAATACTCTTCCTGATGTGAGAGAGCCACTAAATACAGTCTGAATGCCCTGGTTCACATAACATAGTAAGCCAATCTTGCACCCAGCTTGCTCCTCCCTGGTCCTTTTAGCACAGTCTATAGTGACAGCTAAGCCAAAGCTTAGCACGTTGTCTGAACCCATTCTCTTTGCCCTTACCTCACAGAGAAAGTATTTCTTGATTTCTCTCTCTCCCCCACTTCCCAACATTCCTAAAGAAATGTGAGGAAACATTCAGGTATGGTAAACATCCAAATGGTTAAGCCTCTTCCCCACTAGGGACCAGTGAACACCACTGGCTGTATCATTTTTGCTCTGCACTTTGAATTATCTCTTCCTGCTGAGGCTACACTTTGTCCAAGGACTGACTAAATACCTAATGCTACCCTGTTAAAGGTGGGGGTCTGCAGAGTCCAGTTCCAAAGAACTTTTTAGACTCTCATCCATGTGGCATCGCTCTCTTCATAGGGTGTGGCTACACACTCAGAGACATGATACATGACTCACCTTGGTTGGCACTTCAAGATTGACACTGGGGCAGATCTACATTTGTGGTTTATAACGTTAAAATGTGACACCAGAGGGTGCTGCAGAGCAGAGAGCCACCGGCAAAGGGAAACTGCCATTAAACATGATTGTTGTTCTTGTTGTTGTTTAGTTGTTTAGTCGTGTCCGACTCTTCGTGACCCCATGGACCAGAGCACGCCAGGCACTCCTGTCTTCATTAAACATGATAGAACGTTATTAAATATAATGTTTAGAAGATCAATGTAGATCCAGTCTTGGTCATCTGTGCTTGGGCACAGACAGCAATATGTATTGTCTGGGTCTTGCCATGATGGTTCCTGAGAGACCTCTTTGCTTTCCATTCCTCCTCTAATCATTCTGTCTTATTAAGCTTGGGGAACAAAAAGACAACAGGGAGAGGTCCTTGGAAGCACTGCAGGTGATAAACAGATCTACTTTGGGCTGAAAACAAAGTCTGGAGGGGTCCAGATCTGGTCTGAAGTGGCTTCAAAGATGAGGTCCAAATATCTCATTTTTGTAGACTTCATACCACAAAGGAACTTTACAAAACTCTATGGTCTACCTCCACTGTCAGAGGAAGCGTGTCTCTGGACACGTTGCCAGGAATCACAGGCAGTGTTATGCTCAGGTTCTGCTTGTGGGCTTCTGGTTGACCACTGAGAACAAGATGTTGAACTAGATGGGTCATGGGCCTAATGCCGCACTTTCTTCTTATGCTTTTATTCCTTTGCTCCTTTAAAGTTGGTAAATAATGTCAACACAATACTTCTTTATACCTACTTAAATATATTTAGTTGGGCCAACGGTGCCAAGAACTTTTGCTTTATATATATTCGAATTTGAGAAGATACTCACACATTTGCAAGTTTGTTCCCCACTCGTATATTATAATAATTTATAATAATTTATTATTTATATATTATTTATTATAATAATTTATTATTTATTTCCCCAGCCACTCTGGGCGGCTTCCAACAAAGTATTAAAATACAGTAGTCTGTTAAACATTAAAAGCTTCCCTAAAGAGGGCTGCCTTCAGATGTCTTCTAAAAGTCTGGTAGTTGTTCTTCTCTTTGACATCTGGTGGTAGGGCGTTCCACAGGGCAGGTGCCACTACCGAGAAGGCCCTCTGCCTGGTTCCCTGTAACTTGGCTTCTCACAGTGAGGGAACCACCAGAAGGCCCTTGGCACTAGACCTCAGTGTCCGGGCAGAACGATGGAGGTGGAGACGCTCCTTCAGGTTATACACGGAAATGCCTATGCAACTTTGAGCTGTACACCTGGAGCCATTTGCCGACTCCAAGTAACTATTTCCAGCAACATTGGATCCATACGTGGAAACGCAGCTTATGCAACTTTAGAGCTGTGCACCTTGACTCCTCATTGCGTGCCACCACCTCAGCATCTTGGCAAGGACCCACACTCATTGCAGCCACGTCAAGATCCCTCAAAGTATGGTGGCTTTTGAGCTGCTGGCTTCAGAAGCAGTTCTGTTAGGAAGATGATTCAGAAAGTGAATCATTTTGTTAAGAGGTTCTATATCTGCTCCCACTTGCCCTACGCCCCCAAGCTCAGCGTGTGGCTTCCCACTCCCTAATAGCAACTCTCTCCTTCAG